TATTAGTGAAGGTGAGCCTTATTTGACCAATTGCAGAATGAAGGACAAATTACTTGACACTGATCTAAAAATTCAATTTGGAAAGAGCCAAAGGAGTCAATGATAGTACTGTGTGATTTAGTTCACCTGACAGGTATGAAAGAGGATGGCAGAGGAAGTGTGGACTCAACGATTCGGTGTTATTCAAATACATTTTGCATTTTGTCCTGTTCCTTTCATTTTCTCCTTTTTTTGATTATTACCGAAATTTAAACTTTACTAATTAATTCAATTTAGTTTTTTTTTTTTTTTTTTTCTGATTCTCATTTCATGAATATATGTATTAACGAAAAAAAGTACATAGTGACAGAATAATTTATGATAAAGAATATCGATTTTCGATTTCCAGTAACTCATCCGAAGTAAATAAATTTGTGGTGTGAACTTGTCACCTCCTACTTCAAAATATAGCAGTGGAGGAACCAAGGAAGAGTGGTAGCACAGGAGCAGTGGCTACACCACTCTACAATCACCCAATTTCTAAAGACCACAAAAGCTGGCGGTCCCTGAACCGTACCCTCCTTCATCGGTGGCAGCTCGCTACCTCTCTCGGCGATAAGATTCTTATTGTAGTGAAGGTCACATACGCATACACAGGTCACACAGACACAGACAGACAAACACACACACACACATACATGGTCACAATGATGTATGATGTATCGTTCAAGTATGTTGGATTTATTCTTGTCAAATCGATCTTTCATATTTAGCACATTCCTAGGAGACAGCCTAACATTTTCTGTAGGTTAAAGGAGTGAAATGGCCTTCACTGATATCTCAGTTTGTTTCTTTTGCAATTTTTTTATTTCTTTTGTAACTGAAATGGATGAGAATATGTAAAGTACAAAGATAAGAATATACAAAGAGCTTTTTAAATATTTTTTCATGTCTTTTCAGGATACGGAATTCCTTCCGACACTTTCATCATTTCCAGTTTTCCGTAATTGAAGTTTCTCTCACTGGATAATTTTTTTTTTCCTTTGTCATTTTCACTACATTTCTTTTTAGTTTTCAATAACCAGGACATATTTTTGATTTTAGATTTTATTTCTTCCATTAGTACTAAAATTTGTTTTCCTCAATATTTTTAAACACCATTAATTAATATATGGAAGGACATAATAGTTATATGTGATCATCATTCGAAACGAACGATCAAATCAGTTAGGTCATTTATTATCTGATCCGATCAGACCGGTACTCAGTTATTTCCTTCATCCTCTTTCGCTAAGGTAATATCAGGATACGCAGGGACGAGCTTCATAGTTCATACTAAATTTGTCAAATTCATCTCGTTACTTGGTTCAACGCATGTTATAGCATCGAGACTTGCAAATAGGTGACACAAGATTGAGATTTGCAAATATGTGACATAAGTATCATCATTTTAGAAATCAGTGATAGTGTCATGTATGCTTCATTTTAGCACTTAATTTCTGATTTCCACTTTGTATGTCAGTCTGGGTTATTTGTTGAAGATGGACTCTTCTCCTGCGACATTCGTAGCGTTCAGAGACTCACTAAAAAAATTCTTTCTCGTAAACATCACGCTATCACGTGACGCAGTATAAGTATGCAAATTAGCTGCAATACAAAAATTTCTGTGTTCAGTGCCATATTTTTTTGTTCGACTGAGATGACAATAAGAACGAACTCCCTTTGACTATTCCATATTTCCACAACTAAATGACAAGCGACAGTTCAGCTCACCTTGACGTCACGTAGACAGAGCAGAGGCAGCAGATACAGTGTCCACTTGCTGTCTCTGTATCATTTCTTGTTTAACACGGAAGGAACTAGAGATGACCACCTTATCTCACTGTCTATTCATTCTGTCTTCCTTTTTACCTGTTCATCTATCCCTTTATACTTCCATTTTGAGGTACAAACTCAAACTGTCATTTCTGTCTCTCCTTTTCATCAATCTTTTGTGACACTGTAAGATGTTTTATCAAATTCTTAATAGATAGAAAAAGGAACTTTGTTTTGCAACAGTTAGCAGCAGCAGCATCAACACTTCATTTCACATTTCAGTGCTTAATTCGTTAAGACTTTCCACAATGTTATCTGATCTCTCTGATCGATCAGCACTTATCATAATCATCGTTGGAATCAATGATAACAATCAAAATAGTCGATTCTTTTATCAATACAAACAACACTCATTTTTCTTTGTTTTTACTCCAATTACTGAAAAGTGATCCAAGTTGTGTAATAAGTGATCAGCGAGAAAATAGAACTTTTGATAAACTATTCATTATCCGTAGTTTGCGAAAATTCGCAAAGTTCATATTTGATAGAGGTTACAGGGAAAATCAAGAAAAAGGGTGAAGGACGAATAGGTAACCTTAAAATGTCAAATAAAATTTCTCTAGCATCAGATGATCAAATTTGCTGAAATTATCAATATTCCTTACTCCTTAATTCATATAAATAACTGGTAAACTCTATAATTTTGTCCATTTAAGAAAGAGAAGAAAAGATAGACCTTTAAAGATTAGATCAATCCAAAGAAGCACCTTGGGAAAAGTTGGATAACCTTGCTTGAGGTCACATCTAAATGGACTTTACGACCTTTTTCTGAGAACCTTTTAAGGAGTAGTTTCATTATATGCTTGTCACACCTAAACTGTTATCTTTCCATATTATTTTAGAGAATAATTACTTCTAATTAATAATTAACTAAGCTATGAATTCTCAAGAGTAAGAATTTCGGATTACCTTGAATGGCGCCATTAATTTCAAATTTTTCATTGTTCTAATTTAGGTCGGTAAGTGGTAATAATAACACTATTTTAAATAAAATCTTTGAAAAGAGCATCTGTTCCCTTGTTTTTATTGAAATATCTTTCAGTGTCGAAAGAACTTCCCATGAAGTTAAGTTTCATTGCCCGAACTGATTGTCTCATATAAATTAGCTTACCTTTGACCGTAAAACTGTGGCAAATATTGCCCAATACACACCTGTCCAAGTAACTATGCATTCTGTTTTAATTGCAATATGCAAAATGCTTACGTTGGCACGTGACTCCTCCACGTGTATATGCGTAATGTGTAGACATTAAATTTCAGTCTGCTAGTAAACTTGCTAAGCTTATAGCTAGCAGTACCAGTTGATGCAAATACTGCAAACAGCTTAACCAATTCTTATTTTCAAATTCAAAACTTTTTTTTTTATCACTCATTCCTGACCGGACCGGAATGGTTCACCATTCCTGCTTTAGCTGCATTATTTTTAAAATCCATATAATCTGCCTTTTCAGAATTCTCACCAATTATTATAGATTTACTTTGTCGGAAAAAAGCTCTTACTTAAATTCCTTAGTATCTTTCCTCAAAGTAACTCAAACAAAGATCTAAGAGGTAATTGAGAGAATCATTTGTTTGCGATAACCTTTATCCAATATTACTGTCAACAAATCTTCCGTCCATTACTTTCTTGCAATTTTGCCTCTTTCTTAATCACCAATGATCGTCATCAAGTCAGCACTTTCGGCTTGTTAACAAAGCTGATAAGCTGATAAGGTGATAAATGACAGCCATTACGATACAAACCTGAAATTATGAACTATGGGATTTCAGAGTAGTTTACCGCTGTTCATTATTGTTTTTATTAGTAAATTTACTAAACTAACTTTTGAGATGACTCGATGACAGTCGTCAGTATAACAGTTAATATTATTTTCAATTAAATGTAATATTCAGTGTCAACAAAATAAGTTCAAAGAATTAGTAATTTTGATTAATCTTTTTTTATCTTTTTTTACCATATCTTTGTGAAAGTGCTAACAGATAGACAATACAAAGTCATAACAGAATATATTCCTGAATGCTTCAACAAATCGGAAAAATGCAATGCTAAGTATGTTCTCATCAATGCTATAATATTGTAGAATTAATGGAGCACCTGAAATATCACTAATCATTAAAGAAAGCGGTAAAATACTAATTAAAAATCTTGGAGGCGGTAAAATATCAATAAATCAGATGTTAGTCATAAAGAAAAAAAACTTTAAAGCAATTACAAGTATTATTTTTTTTTCTGTTATTTAATTACAGTAAATGAAAAATATTCGTTTTAATTTTCCAATCAAAAAAGATGAAAGTAGTAATTTCGTTAAATTTCACTTCTGAAAATTCAACTATTTATTGCATTTTGACTAATTACAAACTTGTCTGATATCACAGAGATACTCTCTATCCCTGCTTCACATGTATTCATTTTTTTTTTTCTCTTTTAAATTAGAAACTGCAATGTTTCAAAAGTGTGAAACTTCAACAGTCAATGAGTATGTCTGAAGTCATTCCTGATAAAATCTTCCCAACGCTCTTCCCTGAATCCGGATTCAATGGACCGGATTGAAGGGTAAGGGAAAGAGAAACGCTATTTCTGTAATGTTTTTCATTTCCTATCATTTCATCGTCATTTAAATATCATCTCATGATCATCAACAAACAGAGTCAAATCTCTTTGACAATTTCTCGATATTCATCTATTTATAGGTCATCCCTCTATCTCATCATTATCGTCATTATCACATAATATATGTCGTTCACACGCACGTTGCCAAATTATTGACCATATTTTACGACGCGTCATAAGTGAGATTACTATACTTCACGTACGTGACATTCATTTAAGATTGAATATGGCTGGTAAATATCGCAATTTTCACATTTAATTTGATGATCAGTTATTTAAGAGTGATCATCAGTCACAAATATATTTAAACTGACAGCAAGATTGTATTGTTGAAATTAAATATGCGAGATTTAATCACAGTTTGTGTTTAGGATTGTTTTACAGTGTCAAAGATAGTGTCACAAGCAGTTGACAAGAAATTTCTTAGAATTTTAGTATTTTCTCATTTTTACTTTCTATCACATTTTTGCGTCAAATCAAATATTATTTGCACAAATTTATGAAAGTTAATTTTAGAATTTGCGGGTAATCAGAGATGAGGTGGTACGGTGAACATATTTCTATTGCTGTATGTCCACGGCTAACTTTTCTTTCATTACTATTGTTGGTTTTCTTTTGTTGGATTTCAAAACGAACTATTGCTATGAGATTGAATCCGGAACGAATTGCCGCACGTTTGCAAATCGAAAGAGAGATGGAAATGGATAAGCTAGTGAAAATGGGAAGAAACAGACGTCAGTTGGCAACGCCAAAAGAAATTTCTATTTCTGTTAGTTCATTGCTTTATCAATTACGGAAATGGTATAATACTTCCGGAAATGGAGTAATACTTTTGTAATACAAATTTTCTCACAAAATTTAATATCGTTATGTTTCCGTTTTTATTTCCTCTAAAACTTTTCATAATTGAAACATTCACTTCTGTACATTTTCTTTTCATTTGTTATATGATAACAAAAAATGATAAGACTTGATTGCAAGCAATAGAAGACAAAGTCTTTGCAAGTTTGAAACTTGAAAAGTAATAAATAACAGGATTCGACCGAAATTTTGCAAATTAATTTCCGAAAATACAAGGCGGCAACTTTAAAAGAAAGCCTCAAAGATTAAAGATTAGTTTTACACTCTTACACAGTAGTATAAGAAACAGATAAAAACTATAAAATATATTTTAAATGGTTGAAATTTGAGCTGAGAAAACTTTTGGATTGTTCGATCAGTTTTTGAAGAATATCTTCAAGAGATAAGCATGCTTCAGTGACTTTTTTACTTATCATCAACCAATTGTTATCACAAGTTCGGTAGAGGATAGAAGCATAAGAGAGAGACCTTCTGATCTTATTTTCAATTTCAAATTAAATGACAGGCACTCTCAGAGAAAGAAGCCATCTAAATTTCATTCATTCACTACTCACAATACCAAATGCAAATTTTAATCTTTCAAGAACTTTTGTTGACATGAATAATGGATAACTGTAGGTGTTTCCGGGTATTGCATTTCCCGCAGAGATTGTATTTGCATCAGTAGCGATCTTGGATGACTTCGCTTGTACCCGAGGGTAAACTTTGACAAACATTAAAGGGAAGAGAAGGAATCATTTAGATAGCTAACAGTGCAGTTATTCCCGTTTGCAAATGAGTTCATTAATGAGATCCTGGCAGGTGTTAATTAATTGAAGACTTACTGCTTTCTCTATTTTTAGTGAAATTTAAAAAATTTTTTCTTTACCTTCTGCCAATTTTCCAAGTTTGTTATTCTATTAATTAATCAAACTTAATTTTATCAAATTCCAAATTTCGGATTATTCGGTGCCTTGTGACCCATTTTTCAGAACAATTGTAAGAATTTAGGAAATTTTCGATCAATTTATTAAAAACGATGAGATTAGCATTACATTACTGTACTTTGTTTAGGAAAATATGCACTTCAGTAGATCCAATATTAACAGTATTTGACATTTCAATTTAAAAAAAAATAAAAAGTAACGAAACACAGTCTCTCCTTTTGTACTGTTCCTTACAAACTGCTAATTATAAAGTGTGCTGTTGGATAGTTATTATCAAATTGAGATGTTTATCGAATAGAACTTTGATCTATTCCCATTATTTGATATCAATTATAGGAATATTTCAAGAACTAAGAGGAATTGATAGGCGATAAATGATTTCAAGAAAATTCTTCCAGATGCACTGAAAAACAAAATTTAAATGTGTGAAAAGAAATGCAGGTTGATTTTTAAGATAAAATTCTTCGAATCGCTTCATCCATAGATTAACAGTTTTGCAGTATTTACTGATTTCCGGAATTGTTGAAATGATATCTTTTTAAAATGAATTAATTAGATGCATTTTTATTGCTATCACTATCCATTGTCACTTTTATGAGGGTACCATAACAACCAGTTCCATTGAATCGTTCCCATCGTATCCACCAGAAAAACTAATTCTTATGAGACATTCTGCATAGTTCTTGTGAGTTTTTATTGTGGAGGGGAAAGGGGGGGGGGGGGAGGAGAGGTGGGGAAGGTTTATTGAGCGGAAAGATATGCAACCAACTTCAATGAAATGGGATAAAATACCGTTAAAAACGAAAGGTATCGTTAAGCAGTATACAGGTATAAAGTCACTTGACGGAAGGATCTACTCTCTATCTAATTTATTTAATTAAATTTGCTTCATTTAAAGCACATAATTGTATCAGTTATTAAATATCCTCTGGGAAACGAAAAAGTTTGATGGCTCGTAATAATGATACTTTAATATTGAATACAAACCATTAATTCGACCTTTTCAAAATCCAATTTGTCATTATCAGTTCGTAATCAGACCGATGAATGAATCATCCAATTGTAAATTATCATACCATTTCATTACTAATAAATCACATTTTATCTTTCTTCATGAATAGATAGCTTTATCTTCAAACCTTGATTTCGGTAAGCATAAAAAATTCTCCCCAAAATTAATTTACATTTGCATACATACATGAACTAAGCGATCATACTCTCTACCAATATTCTATGTTGTAAATTGGTAAAAAGCTTGTTTCAAAGGTTAAATCTGTGCTGAAATCCTAATTACTTACTTTCGTGGTACCACTCGTAAGTTCAACTCTCAAAATTAGGTCTGGCATTGCACACGTTTCACAACTTCTCGTGAAATACCACAGATTGTCGATGTTTGCTTCACATATCGTCTCAATAAGAGGAAAATTCCACCAGCCACTGCAAGGAACTTCTCAATGATTACTAGAATGATTACCTGAAAGATTTAAAACTTACGTCGAAACACTTCAAACGTGAGCGTTTCGACGTACGAAAAATATGAGCATACATTTAGAATCATTCGTTAATTCTAAAACAGTTTATAATACTAACTTTATGTTTAACTAGTGAATTCCGATGTTAACACGATAAGGATCAGATGAATGTGTCCCGTTCATATTCTCGACAGCACGCAGTTTACGTTTTACGTTGGGTTCACGAATTACAGATTAGCATTTCGTAAAGAACAAATTACATTTTTGCTATATAAATGCATTAATTGCAAACTGATCCCAACTGATCACCGATCAGATCAAATTCATTCATACACAATATCGATAGTCTTCAACATGCTGAAAACGAAAAGTGATAAGAGAATGTTGAATGTCTCTTATCATTGCAACAATAATTCATTTATAGTTGAAAATTACGTATTCTACCTTGTTGCATCAGATATTATCAGACGGTTTTCACGTTTATATTATCAAACGATTTTCACGTTTATCCCATAATATCAACAAAAACCTTATTCCCTTTCTATTTCAGTAATATCAACAAAAATCTTAGACTTTTTTATTCCCTTTCTATTTCAAATGTGACAGTTCAATTCCATCCTTCAACCATTTGAAGTGAATAAAGCATTTTGAATTATTTTACTTTTTGTTTTTGTTTTGTTTCGATGTGATTGGTATGTATGTTTATATGTGTGTACGTGTATGTGTGTATGTGTATGTCTACGTGTACGCGTGTGTCTGACTCGTCAAGCCAACCATCCCGTTGTTAAATAAAATTCTTAATAGTTCTGCTTCACGTGAACATTCCGTTTGCACACGTGTGACCCTTCACGACGAGATTCAGAAGATCTTCCTAACACCGTGTTTGACACACTCAATTTCTAAATTGAATTCATTATAAATTAATAAATACGTCTAAATCTCCTAACGTACCTTCTATAAGTAAGCATGTCAAAAGAAATTCTCTCCTATTAATTTGAAATTTCTATGAGACATCTGAAGATGACATTTATCATTTCTTAAGCAAGTTCACAATAAGTTCAAGGTATCTTTTAATCATTTTTCGAAGATTTAGCAATAACAGTAAAAATTTCGGAACTGCTTCAATAGGAGTGAATTTTGGAATTTTCACTACTTCGAGCACTTCGAACTTTCAGTAAACGTTTGGATTTAAAATTTTAAGATTTTCAATAAATGTTGAATTTACTGCTTGAATAACATTTATACAGAAGTTTGCGCATTTTTATTTTCTGGGAAACAGAAAGGGGTGAAAGGTCACTAGGAATATATTCTCTAAAAGTCGTAAGAAGTTACTCTTTCGAGTGTATTCATGAATAATTCGAAATAATATTTCATCGCTCTACACTGTAATCTATGATCCATTCATATTTCAAGAGAAGCATTCTTCCTTGACCAACCGGATCACATTAAACATTTATGGTCATCCTGTATAACCTGAATAAAAGATAGTTCGCTGTCAGGAAAAGTCGTCCCTACTCTTTCAGTATAATCGGATTTGTGAAAACCGAAATTTATCAGACATTTCAAAATATGTATGAATAAGAGAAGAAAATGATAATCACTTTTTTAACATATTGAAATTGATGTATCTTTGAATTGTTTCAGATTACTGCTCCGCTTTTCTCCAGCCGATTATTTGACTATGGACCAGATGTTGGTGATCAAGAGTTACCGAGAAATTTAGATGTCGCCGAAAAGATCAACCTGATTTATCCATTGCGATTTTATGGTGTTGACACATCAACGATATATGTAAGTTGTAACTAACAGAATCGATGGATATTTTTAAATTTTAACAGCTTTGATAGAAATTATCTTCCAATTTTTGTATTTTCAAGACTCATTTTTGATTTTTGATTTTCTCCTATGAATGCTTCTTGACAACTTAGCAACTGGCGAGCAATCGAAACAAGTTGACAGCTAAAGTAAATATATGCTTAGATATTGAGTAATGGCGGTATTGGTATCGAGTCGAATACACGAACCTATCAGCAAAATGTATTACCAAGTAATTTAAAACTAATAGCACCATTTTGGAATCGAAATGACTTACGAAACGGTGGAAGTGTTTATTTTAGAGAAGTGGCAGGTACAATTTATCTCATAACTGTCACCTCATCTCAGTTCTACATAACTCTTATTCTGTTCAAAAGTTTCAAAAATTGATCTATTTAAAAAAAAAAAAAAAAAAAAAAACAACTTATTTAATCTGTCAATATGTATATTCAATAATAGATCCCAATAAAAGAGTTTAAAAACAACCTAATTAAAAGCGCTAGTATTAATGAAATAATTTGAAAATTTGCAACATGAAATTGCATTCTTGCTAAATTACATTTCATCTATACAATGCTTCTTCCATAAGGACTCAAAAAAAATTTGAGTAAAGTAAAATTAATTTTCTAACACGAAGATCATGTCAAAGATCAAAATTAACATGAAGTTTTGAATAAAAAAAAAAAAAAAAAAAAAAGAATGTATGATAATAATTGATGATAAAAATAGATTTCAATCTAACTAGCTTTGAGCATAATGTCAGCAATCAAATATTACCAGAAGAAAGTTATTTTTAGCGGGACGTGTTCTGGAACGTGGACAAAGTGAAATCCGGTACCAATACGATGAAGTGGTAAAGGTGAAGGCGTGCTTACTAGTTACGTGGGATAAAATGCAACCCGTCGGCGCTGCGCCTTTACCCGATGATGTTCGTTCATTTGATAAATAGCTATTAATTCTTGTTTATAAAGTGTTAATATCATTGACTACACTTTATAAACACGTGGAAACGTATGAAAGCTAATTTAAACTCTCTGCAAATATTACTCTTTTTATTGAAATTCACCGAAAGATAAGTTAATAATTTGTTGTTACAGAATACGAACACTTTCCAAATAGCACTGTTTATTACTGATAATGGCACATTTGCTAATTTTATTTACAAAAATATCGGTTGGACACAAGGAGCTGAGGTTTGTATGCTTTTTCATTTATTTATTAAGAAGTAAACTTGCAAATTGCAGATAGCATTTGCAAACAACAAGTTGAAGTCTAGAAAATATCTTAGTAAATGAAAAAAAAAAAAATCAAAAAACTATTTTCAATTGCGAATTATTATTTCAGTAAGTTTTTAGGGATTGAAAAAATATTTTGCTGAAAGTTTCTTGAAGATAAACAAAGTGGACAAAAATTCATTGACAAATTCAGTAGTGCAAAAGTAAATGGATGAAAATAATGAGTAGACACAATGAAGTGAAAGTGGTCAGCATTCTAAGACTTTTTTACAGGCAGGTTTCAACAAAGGTGACAGGAAAGAATTTTTCGCACTTCCTACTTCCGGCACCGGTAATATCATGTATCTGGAAGAATACGGCAATACAGGAATCCCTGGTGAATGGATGTTTAAGCTTGGTGACAAAAGTGTGGAACGATGCAAATCTGGGATAAAAGGAGATACTTGCGACGAGGGTAACTTTCATCGCTTTTCTTGCTGTTCAAAAGAAAAAATCGGTAACTAAAATCTTGTGATGATTTGAAATGATATTATTGATTGATGTAAAGGTGAAAATTACAGAATGCTCAGCTGGTGAGTGGGGACCTGATTGTGCATTGTGCTGTCACTGTGCAAGCGGTACGTGCAGTGCAACCATCGGTGAATGCATTGGTGGCAAATGTTCCGATTGCTGGACAGGTCTACCAACCTGCCAAGAAAGTAAGCCATCCAAATTCTATTACTTTACGTAAGCTTATGCAATTTTCGATAATAAGCAAGCGGTGCTTATCCGAAACTACTATGCATTACTGTTTACTAATGCAACTGGTTTTGCTACCTGCCAAACCAAAGTAAGTCAAATCAAATCATACATGAGTTGCTGTAAACTACGCACGTCATTCACTATTTGATAACGTTCTAAGACATCTGAAATTACCTCCACAAGTTAAAGTCCTTTTTTTGTATTCGATGTGACACCTTTCTCAGGTGTATAGCCTTTTCTCACTCTATTTGACTTCATTAACTTTCATTATTCTGTCCAATTGAAAAATGTCCTAGTAATTGGTGCATTCAACAGAGCTACTCGAACTGAAACTGCAGCATTAGTCTAAAAGCAGAAAATCTGTGTTCTATTACGGAACTTTGGTACCAAAATTTGATCCCTAACTTTAATATGAAATGTTTTCAAATGTAAATAATTTGAAGAGAGAGAAGAATGCGAAGCGCTGATGCAAGAACATTGCGCTCATAACGCCATGTCATTTACGGACTACGACCGTTGCGGTGAACCGATCCAACGGTGTCAGTGCTTGAAAGGCTTTGAAGGTGACGGATATTCCGCATGTGATGGTATGTTTTCCTGAAAGTTCGTTGCATGCTAGTAAAGTCAAACTTGAATATTTCATGCAAGACTAATGAGCGTATCACGTTGTCCTCCTTGCTTATCAGAAAGGCTTTTATCAGTTGACTGATTGCAAAACCCAGAAAGCATTCCTAGATTCCTTCAGTACATTCGAGATAAGGAACGATTGAATGATGGCAAAACAATTCAGTGCTTTTACTTTTTATTATTGCTATTAATTTTTTGCATATACTAAAAACAAAATAGTAAACAATAAAGCAAATAAGTGAGACAACGATTCCATCTTTCGGGTTCATTAGCCTTACAAATGAAATTAATTTTACAAATTAAAGCTTTATAAATTAAACTGAACAAGCAATCTTATCGAACTAAGTCAATAAATTACTCATTGTAAACATTTGCTGACAAAATTTGCAATGAGTTGTGCAAAAAAGAAAAAAAAAAAAAAAAAGATGCTTAATTTATAAATTTTTGCATTATTTGACGAACAACTGAAAGCTTTACGATTGTTCGAACAAAATACTAAATTAGTTTAATTAATAAACTGAGTCGAGAATTGCTCTGTCGAGCAAGCAGCACTGAATGATGCATATTTCATCGTAATACTGCAATTTAAAACTGACATGCAATATCTTGCAGATATCGATGAGTGCTTGCAGCCAGGTGTATGTCACGAAAATGCAATTTGTGGGAACACTCCAGGACACTATTTCTGCACATGTGCGGATGGATTTATTGGTGACGGAGTGAGTGAATGCATAAGTTCGTTGCTGTATTCATACCGCGGTCATCAAGAGCTGCCGAAAGATCGGAATGCAAGAGTGGTGCTGCAACTCAAGCAACCACTACAAATATTCGGCAAGAAATTGGACAAATTAACGGTTGGTACCACTTTTCGGATTCTGTCAACTACCTTGCAAACTGACAGTACAGTTGTGCACCTATTTAACTAATGAATTATTGAATTCTTGAAACCACTACTACACAGTACTTTTATACAAATATTTATGCCACTTATTTTCATTCCACAAAAGTTCTCGTAATAAGATGATATCAAAAGGTCAAAAATTAGACTTCAACATTATCATATGAATTCGTCATGTTCACATGTTCCCGTGAAGGAAGGTCACCTCAAACAACACTCCTCACAATACAACAACAATACAGGATGTCAACTAGACTTGGCCAAACTCTTCTCAGGCCTGAAATCCTCACTACTACCCATTCCATTTGTCTTACAGATTTGTCTCTATTCCTTTTTGAATCATTCTCCGATATCTTAAAATAAGTACCGCCACCGATAGTGTTGCGCTAGTTGTTGCATAGTTCACTACTTAGTCATATCTTCTCTTTCATTCTTTCAACTCGCATCGATAACTTAAATTGCGTAAAGAAGAGAATATGTAAGGTACACGTAAACTAGTTTGTCATTTACATAATACACGTCACGTAAATCTACCGTTTACAACTCTGCATGAAGAATCGTTCTTCCTACGCCACATTCTCCATCTTTTCCCTGTTGTAAATGTACAATTGTCAAATAGCAATGGACGAATTAATTGTGAATCCACGTGAAGCACACGTGAAACACGCATACAGAAAAGTTAGAAAGAAAGCTGTTGAAAGGAGTGTTTATGTTCCTTTCATTAGATATTTAACTGGTTAACTACGAGTAACCTCTTTTACAGATTTCGACATTAGGAATAATATCTGTGGAAGACAGCTCAAAAGTTAACGCAGGTGATCACCTCGCTTCTTCCGGAATACATGGCATAGCACCGTTCTTTGCTAATATTGACATCCGGAAAGGTGGTCAAATATTTGTGGACGAGACAGATGGTACATTTACTCTACTAGTTTTTATTTTTTAATCAATTCCTTTCCACTTTTTTCTTTCTGTTCATTCTCAATTTTATCATTTCCTACGGATATTTTTCTAATTTCTTCCTTCTCTGTGTCTTTCCTTCAGTTTTACCGCCACACTTAGATGTTGAACGGTTCTCCATAATTTACTTCCCCAAGTTTCATAGGTAATGAAATATATGAGAAATGATGAAAATGAATGAATTGCGAAGAGAGCAGAAAAGTTAATTGTTCGAAAGTTAATTTATTTAAGCTAATTGTTCTGCTTTGTTTGCAGATCCAAAAGTACTTTCAAGAGCCACGAAAACAATTGCAAGCAGTATAAATGACAAGAAATTCCAGGCTAAGACTGCTGTATTGGTCACTTATATCAATGTTACTGATGCTGACCGAACGGTTTCTTTCTTGTTTCATTTTCGTTTAACTTAAGTTAATACTAATATTTCGATCTGACATCCAAAAAATTGTAAAAATCAAGATTATAGGGTCCAGGGAGTACATTTCAAACATTAATTATTGGCGGAACAAATAAACAACATCGAAATGAAACATATGCGCAAATGCTGTATAAGGATTTACCTTGGGGCGATGGAGCTGAGGTATCGTATCGCAGTAATCAGTTAAAATTTATAAAATCCAATACTTTACAATTATCTGTTAACTGATATCATCGTTATCAGAAGACTATACAATTATCAAAATTTCAGGCTAGCATTTTAACGTACGGTTCAAAGAATCCATTAATGCTACCTGGATCTGGTACCAATGAAATAGTGCATTTGAGTAGGAGTAGCAATATTGGAAAACCAGGTCAGTGGTTGTATCGAATTGATTCCAACGACGTACAAATGTGTCTTCAGCCAAATCTTCAACCTCCATATTGTGAGCAGTATGAGGTCACGGATGATTCGATATCCGTCACATCGCCAACATGTAATTAATTTATGATTTCATTCTTACCTTAATGCATAATATATCCCTAAGTTTTATTTTTAAATAAGTTTAAAACTTGGAAGTTAAAGATTTGTGTTTATTTTGGACTTATTACGCTGCAACAATTGAAATTGCTAACTGTCATGGGAAAAAATTTACAGTAGAAGAGATAGAAATATCGGAACAAGTGCATCGTTCCTCAATTTCTGAAGTGGATGAACCGACCGATGAACTTGTCGAGATTCCCGGACCTCAGATAATCCATCCAGTACTCATCGACCCGCCAACTTCATCTCATATTCAACCGGTAGTAGAAACGAAACCCAGCGATCACAGTTCCGGAAATGCAAAGGACGGAGGGTGGACGAGAAGTCCAGTGACACCACACATGTCAGTTAGTTCAAAGTGATATTTGATTGACCTGCTGCTGTGACTCATACATCCATTCATCCATCCGATTATTCTGACTAATAGATTGCCCGCATTTCAGACCGCTGATCTCGTTGGACCGCCAGGACATCGAGGATTTGCCCCCGGACGCGTTCGAGGTCACATTCCCGCCTTTTGTCACCGTGGTACCGCGACTGTTCACTACTGGTGACATAGAAACTGGATTGCTGTCGACTCATCCAGTAGTACTGCCTTGCTGATTACTTTTTTCGATTTAAACTTCTCATTTAATACTATAATTGTTTGTTAATCCAGATGACCTTTCTACAGCAATCGTTTCGAAATTCTTGAAAATTTGTGTTTTCTTTAAAAAAAAGCCATAAATAAAATTCATGTTTAAATAGTTTTTTAGGGGGATGGAATGCAAGACAGACAACCAGAATTTCTTGCGACAACATCAACGATATTGGCAACTGATCCTGTTGTTGATGACAGTCGTTCTGAAGTACTTCCAGAAGTTTCTGAACTACCTCCGATATCGTCAACACGATCTGTGGAAGATGTTAGACCTGTACAGAAAGTTAAACCGGGAGAAATTGATTTTGATAATGATGAACAAATTATTAATCTCTTCCGACCTGACGACGATTCCTTTGATAACAGGCTTGAACCGAATAAAGAGAATGAAGCTTCTGAGGTTTATTATATATATATTTTCTCAGAACTTTTTTCCTTTTCAAAATCATATTGAATGAGCCAACCTGTAGTGTCTTCATTTCTGCAGGTGTCAATGTCAACAGATTCGCCGGTACAAACCTTGGTGCAAGAAGATGAAAGGGATTATATGACGTTAAGTACTACCAGTAAACCACTGTTCATTTTCACCACACTACCAAAGGTATGCATGCCTTATCCCACCACACTATGAGATAATTTAAATTGAAAAATGTTCAAATTAACAAATGTTTAGAAACGGCCTATGCCGACGAAACCAAAGTCAGTAGCAGCACACGGTACATCTTTTACAACAGCGCACGGTCCGTTCGATGTTCGAAACGAAGTGAAGGTGGAAGCATCCAGCAGCAGTTAGCTCTCTTTTCTCCTTCTTTTACGAGACTCTTTGTTCAGCTAACTGACTTTCTGACTCTGGCTTTGTTGTTAAAAAATTAATACTTTAGATCTCGCTGTTATTATTCCGACGGCAATCATTGCAGTATGGTTATTGTTACTCGCAGTTATTGCATTGTTCTGCTGTTGCCGCAGGAAGTAAGTCTTTTTCTTTCTGTCTCACTAATGAGTTAACGGTGGGTAAAATTAGAATAAAATTGAAATTTAAAGCGTCCCTGGTGGTTATGTTGTAGGCGAGCGGAACGTCACTTCAGGGACATATATTTCCCGAATCATCAGCAGATTCATCCTATTACGACAACATTTGCGATGCGAAAGGATTCGAAGAATTTCGATGGTTCCTACGAAGATCATCTCGAAAAAGCAGCACGACTCAGCTCCGAACTGAATTCCTACAATCAGGTATTTGTAATTGTTCCTGTTAATCTTGCAATTTGAAGCTTGTCCAGGTGTTTTGGAAGTCCAGCAGGAATGTGACGGAATGCGGAATGCATCTTAAAAGCTCATATTGTTTTAGAATGGTCGTGTTTCGTTATACGGTTCGTATTGGAACTTAGCAGGCAATGCTTCCAGTAGTTCGACAAGCGGTTTGCCTGTTGGCAATAGGCAAAGCCCATTCTCACAGTACAGTACACAGCAGGTATTTCTGAATTATGTTACTCGGATTTAATTAATAATTTAAATTAATTATTTCTTTACTAAATTATCGTTAATTAATCGTTTATTTCCTATAGTCTGACATTTCAGCGATATATTTACGGTTCTCGATACTGATTAATTATGGATATAAATTGGAGAGTGCCATTGCAGTCAAACACTAAACCTAGCACACTTAACTCTCGACATTCTCGATATGATCAGTGTTGTTAACCTGACGAAAAATTTGGCAGTGCAGGAAGTGCAACATTGCTCAAAAGCTCTTTTCAAGCCTCTCGATTAGCTCAGAATTACAGTATTATATGTGGAAATGCGTCGTTAAAAATTCCAATTTTTCATAATTTCTTTATGCTGGGAATTGTTATTTTATATGGCTGTATCAGCTTATTTTCGGAAATCAGGGCATTACTTCCGGAATACTGGTTGCAGCATGTAAACATGTAACTGAGGCGGCTGGTATTTTTTACCTTTTGAAAATTTAACCATAAATTCACTGCATAATTTCAATGCCACATTATTTATCTTCATGAATTTATGCTCAATAAGAAAATGCAATGACTTATAAAAAATGAATGTTTTGTTCCTTTTTATCTAAATACTCAATGATTTCAATGTGACAATCATCAGTTATGGTTGGCAATTTGTATTTCACCACAGTAATATGTGCTTTAGTTCTTGATGACTTATTTGATAATTTAATTAATTAGATGAATAGTTCAATACTTTGTATCTAAAATAGTCAATAAGTTGTTTTTAGGAACTCTTTAGAATTTAGCTCTGTGATTTTCGCTTGAGCTATCGTATTTTATTTAGTTATAATAGATGATAATAATAATAATTATCTCTCATAATAATAATAATAATCTCTAGCATACTTACCATTTAATAGAAAATAATACGTCATGGTATACCTTTTTGTGTATTGGAAATTTTTTTTTTTTGACCATTTAAGTTCAGCGATAGGTAAGGGATACAATGTAATAGTGAAGGAGGTAGAAATCAAGCAGTAATAATTAGCGACATTTCTTCTAAACGATCTTCTTGTTAATTAGAAATGTTTTAAATCTGATTTTGTGATAAGTCTGAATTATTTCTCGTTGATGTTTCAGAATTATCAAAGATAGTTTAATTTAATCAGTAATTGCATAAATGAAATGATTCAATGATTGTCATTTTGCATTATTTCTTTTCCCAATGATTAATATAGTGATATTCGGCGACCGATCGGACATCGTTTCATGGATCTAAAGCTGTGCTACGCGTACAAATTTTGAAAATTTATTTAATTCACTTAAGAGCGCTCTTTCTGATCTCATTTATTAATTGGCGCATTTGTACCTCTATAAGAGTGCTAATGAAATGGTGTAATACTGGACGAAGCAAAACTCACTTTTTCATTTTTAATTAATTTATCAATAAATTTGCATAACTTTTCTATCACTGCTTATGAGGAATCATCGTGATAGAGATCTGCTATAACTTTCTCGTACTTTTCTTTGATTCGACGACGTTTTAATTTTAGTGCTTCGGTCAAGAGACCACTCTCAGCTGTCCATGTCTCATCGCATAGATAAATCTTTCTTGGCAGTTCATTTTTCAGCAAATGGTCTAAATCATTGCAATAAAATCTTTTTTTTTTTTAAATTCTAAAGTTTAATTTTTAACTCGAATTTAATTTTCCTGGAATAATTGCACAGTCTTTTGATCATTCCTTGTTTGACAATCCATTCTTAATTCATTGCATTTTTTCCTTTAAATCTAATTCCTTTAATTTTGTTGTTATTTATTTTTTTTGTTAATTCAGAATCTTCTAAGTGTCTCTAGAATGCAAAGAGGAAAATCTGTTTCCTTCAAATTTTAGGACCATGAAGCAAATGATTTCTGACACGATTTTTTTTTGAAATAGCTAGGATACTATCTCTTCTTGTATTATCTTGCATTCAATTTTAAATGAACAATGGAACATCCATTATTTCTCATAGCTTTTTAGATTTCGTTGATAGATAAGAAAACCTTGAAATGATCTACAAATGATAATGATTGGTTGGAATCAATGATTAGACGATTGCTATCAGTGGAAACATACTACTTTTTACAGCAAACTCTTCCAGTCGTTTCTGATATTCTTTCACAATTTTAGTGTTTCGACATAATTCACTCCAATTGACTGAATGCAAATGAAGCTGAAATTAATAGTCTTTAAATGAGTGATTGCAAATAACAATCGTTTTATACTCGAATATACAACTAACATCGACGAAATTTTCAAATGTTTATAGTTAACAATAAAAAACAATTTTCGCTTCATATCAAATTTTCCCTTTTATCTTTGCTCAAGCGAATATGAATCTATCAAAAAAAGAAAAGGAAAAAAGAAATTTGTCATAAATAAAAAAAATACTGAAATTGGTAGGTGATTATAAATACTTCGAAAAGCCTTTTGTTTCATTATATTTCTGACAATTTATTATAATTTATTTTAATTACATAAGAATTTTAGAAAAAAAAAATTTTCAGTGCTTTGAGAAAACACTGATTGATTGATTGTCGTCTCACACTTTATTTATTTAAAATATTTTAATCTTCACATATGTTCATTCTGTTTGCTTCAATTTCAATTCATTATCAAATTACATTACTACCATCAAATTATATTTCTAAGAGAAAGGAAACCTCAACAGCAATGCCTTCCAGATGCTTCCTGTTAGGTACGATAAGAGCTATCAGATACGGTGATAACTGACCGCCGTAACAGCAAATATTATCAATCAACGGACAACTTAACAGTGTTGTTTCGATTTTAGCCAACGATATGTATTCGCCATTTTGCATTTTTATTAAGTCTTTTTTTCGATCTGAAACCGATTGAAATTTAGATTTCTTCCACAAAAATTGGTTAGTAATAATTGTTGTAAATTATTTCAGATAACACATACCAATAATACACAACGAGCCGTCCTTGCGAAATTCGCCAATGTCGCCAGTGGCAAAATATCGTGTGCCATTAATAATAACGAAGTCTTCAGCTGTTTTCTCCGGCTCTTTCCAATAACCAGGTGATACATTTGAACCAGAAACAAGTATCTCTCCTCGAGGTGGATCATTAAGAGGTGTATACTCACCTGTGAAGATGTGACAGTGTTGATTAGCAATTTGATAGCAAGAAAAATTAAGAGTATGGCAATATAAAAGGAGCAATTCTACCTTCACTCCATTCTCGAAGAAGTATTTGTGAGCATCGAACAGGTGGACCAACACTTCCTGTTGATAGATCGTTTACTGGAAACATTTTATGATGTAAACTACGCTTACAATTCATTAAATTTTTCTTTATAGATTTTTCATATTTGTTAGCAGACAAAAATTTTTTACCGTCGGCAATTGAGACTGCTGCACATGTCTCAGTCAATCCGTACCCTTGTATTACCGGACAACACATGCAAATATTCATAAAACATTGAATTTCTGGATTTAATGCTGCTCCACCACTTAGTATACCCCTGAGTTTACCACCCAGAAGACACCGAGTCCTTTTGAATACAGTTCTACAAATATTCCATCGAGCAATTTTTTTCTAATTCTCAGAATATGTTGCGAGTAAACAAAAATGATTATCATTCAAAAGAAAAAACAATTAAATTCAAAAAATGAATAAAAACCAATTCACGATAGAATTGTCAGAAAAAGAAGAAACCTATCCAAGAATGAACTGTAATATCCTTGCTGATAACGAGTTCGCTTCCGTTCGTAAGCTAACCGGAAAACTTCTCGTACTACAGGAGGACTTGATAAAATCTCATCAGTTACAGCTTTAAATATTCTATCCACTATGGTCTTAAAAAGTCGTTTTGTAGATGACTAATTGCATTAATCAGAACAAACCATTGACATATTCCACACAACTAAACACATTTACTTTATCATTGAACTTTTAAAATTTTCAAATGTAAAAGGATCTTGATTTGATTTCATGAAATTGCTTTAAGGCCTTTCATCAATTCATATGATTTACATAAATTCCGTTTTTGTCTTTTTTACATATAAATCAGAACAAATCTTTGCTCATTGAAAAAGCTAACCGGTACTATTGCCATAAGTGTCGGCTTTAGCGCCCAGCAGTCTCCATATGTACCTGGTTTAATTTTAGCGCCGCGATCTTGAAGTGTAGATGGATTCGAATAACCGATACGACAACCTCGAATCTAAATACGTATTGCAAGCAGATCTATCAATTTTTGCAAAAAAATCTTAAATTATATCAAAAATAATAATCGAAATTGATCATTATTCAATTTCTTATGAATGTCATTTTAATGATATCTTATGATAAAAACAAAATTTGAGTAGTAGTAACAGTAAGAGTATTAACCAGACATGTCAATTCCGCTGTCACCTCCAAAATATGTGCCAGCGGAAGATATCCTATGTATGTGTCGGTGTCGCGGATGATACTTATGCCAGCTCCCAGCCCAGCTACCGATGATACCATGTTATAATGCGTGATGATGACTCCCTTAGCAGTTCCAGTACTACCACTGGTATACATTATCATGGCTGTATCGTCTCTCTTAGCTGGTGAAACCTCTGCAACAGTCAATTAGACGGATCTACAGCCAAAGGATCACTTCATCAGACTAATATTAGCGTAGCCAAAGCTATCATTTGGCCACGAATAATGAAGTAACAACCTGGAGCTTTATTTTCATATGTTTTCAATTCATCCAATGAAACAACATTTTCGAATTGTTCCTTGATGATATCCATGTTGCTAATTTTCTTCACAGGTTGCAAGGGGCGGAAATACACTAACCAACGCAACTTTGGTATTTTCTTTCTTACTCTTGAAATTTTTGTCAACAATTCAGCAGATGTCACCAGTAGTGTGGCCTCCGTTTCATTCATTGCTTGAATTATTGCCTTGAAAAACCCAAAAATAAAAAAAAGAGTGAATTAGGACGAAATTTTGAAAATATATGCTGAATCTAAACAAATTCATCATCAATAGATTTGATATGAAATAAACATATTAGAAGGTAATAATACCTTCTCTCCTAGTGTTGCATAAACTGTAGCAACTGGTACGTTAATGCGGAAAAGTGATAATACAGTAATAAGCCAATCAGCTCGAGTTTCCGCAAAAATAACCGCCTGAAAAAAAATATTTGCAAAATATAAAAACGTAAAATCTCAAATTCCTTTTAAAATATGCGAAACACTCACCCGGCAATCATTCCGCACAATATTTTTTAGACCTGAAGCAATCCGACCAATTTTGTCATGGATTTCGGTATAACTTTCCCATTTATATTTACCCATTACCCACTGAAATTCATTATTTGAATAAGAAATAAATCACTGCATAAGTGAAAACATTTGGAAGAGAATGCTGTTGTATCCCACATGGTAAATAATTCAAGACAATCGTTTTTGCACTTCAGCGAAATCAAACAGTTAAACTTTAGCCAAATTTTACATTTAAACCTTTTCAAATACACGTCCATCAGGTTGCTCTTCCTCGTATACTTCCAACAGTTCGCGAGTACCCAAGGCTGCTTTGTCACCATATAATTTCGCTGCATGCGTAAACAATTTATCAACCGTATCTTTCCCCGGAAAATCCTCTCTTACAGGACCGTCTACATTGCACCATGGACTACCTGCATTCTTCATTGGTCTTGCCTGAGTTTATAAAATTAAATGAAATTAAACTACAAATCACTGCCATCTAATTACAATCAGTTCCGTAATACTGTCGCATCTCTGTGATGGCAAATTAGTTGATTTCGCTGCTTGAAGGTTTAAATCTAAAGTAACAAAATTGATTCCTCAGTATTCCTGCAGAAAGGACCATCGAAGACACAATAATCACTGATCTGATAACATATAAATAAAACGGAAAGTGCGATGAATCATTCTGCAAAATGGACACTTAGAAATGATAAACCGGAAATCAAACCTTAATCCGTTCACTTCGCTCTAACCTGGCAATAGGTGGACTGAACAACCCATACAATACATTGCTTAGACAGTCATACACGTAAAGCCATATACGAAGCATGTGAATAATGAGACGAATCCACAATGGCAGTGATTCCTTCAAAGTTGCCAGAAATGATGACTGATCCTTTCATCCTGAAACTTATCACTAATTTAAGCCTACCTGCGAGCGACCGCTCTCTAAAGTGAACATATCAGCCAATGAACTGTGTGCGTAGCTGTGTGAATGATATCTCTTATCACTGCACCAGTCACATCGATTACGAATTACCCTTTCTCTTTTATCATGTCGAACTCATTATATTCTAACAGAAATATTTCTCTATTAGAGACCATATCGAGAACAAAATCTTTACAAAGTTTTCGGTTTGTTAATTCCATAACCTACTCTAAATGATATAAAAATAATCGACAAATAACGCTTTTTATTTGTCGATTAGTAAAGATGAGATTTATTGCAGTCTATGCAAATTTCAGAATAATGAGGAGTTAAATAAAATTTGTTAATATAAAAATATTTGAGTGTTTTGCAAGCGAATAGTTCTTTGTGTGCCGCAATTTATGAGCGGTTGTGCAGGTGATTTCAGGTTGTCTTGTCTCTCTATTAAAGACAATTACAATTCACTGATATCAGACAATATAAAGGTTCTATACACTTCGATTTTAATATAATTAGTTAATTAAGCTAAGAATTTTAGCTTTTTAATTAGTTCTTTACCTTCCTGCCTTCTTCACATCCTAAACAAAATTTTTCATCGGCAAGAAACATCCATAAATGCAGATTCATGGAAGGATGTAATCAGTTCATCCAGTGGATAATAGAAATGGAAAGTAAACATAAGTTTAGTATTGGAAACTGACCGATGGTCATCGGTCATCCCAAGATTTAAAGCGAAGCCATTAACAAATAGATTTTCTGTTGAAATCTCACAAATCAATATTTCAGAATGCGGCACTACATAATTTGCATTCGCCTTCTATTTATAATGGTTACGTTGATAAGATCCGTCTTCTTATCACAACCATCTATTCTAGAACTCGATAAGGTGATAGCAGATATTGAGAGCACAAAACAGAAGAACAACGAAGTGTGCGACGAAACCGATAAAATTGCAAATTGGTTTGTGATAAGATTGTTAGCCAATCAAAGATGATAAACAGATTTGCAATATAATCAGAAAATGATTAGATTGCATTCTGCTACTTTCACCCAATTCAAATTATCTTCAACCACTCTTAGATTCCAGAATTTCTAATAGTCCAAGAATGTGCCGACTTCAGCTTGGCCTAGTGCTAATTGCAAAACCTGCCAAATGCCAAGTCAAATCCAACTTCCTTCTCAAATTGCAGGAACATATACTGCAGTGGTCCTATACTCACCGCAATGAATTTGCATCAGGTGGAAATGGATTCAAAAACATTCGTCGACAGACCGTTGAAAGCCGATCCCGGTAGAAACAAAGTTTCAGATTTTCAAGAATTTATTTGGTATTTTAAATCAGAAAAAAAAAAGTGAACGCCTTGTAAGATACGGCAAAAATGTATTCATCAGATCTTCGTAACAAGTGGTGTCACTTCCATATTTTTGCCGGAGGTGGCGACTCTACGTTTAAATGATGATTATGCACTTCACGGGTTTCAGACGTGGTTTTACAAGAATTTAAAAAGGAATTCGGAAAGACAAAGATAGCAAATATTAGTGTGCAGAAGCTTATAAATTTTCGAAATCGCTTTTTTGGTGAGCCAGGCACGGAATTGAAGGGTTGCGTTATTCCGGAATGGAAGGAATTACCACCGAAAATTGCTAGGATAAAGGATGAAAACCTGAAACGTTTTGCACTATTTTTGAATCAAAGATGGAAAGATCTATGCAGACAAGTAAGAAACGAAACATTATTTGTCCTTTAAGGAACTAATTAGTTGGGGTCAAACTTATTTGAGATCAAAGGTGAAAGATCAATTTATATATTTTAAGATGACTAGAATCGAGAATCCTAAACAGAATTCTCTGATCGAAGTACCCCATCCATTCATTGTCCCAGGTGGTCGATTCAGGGAATTTTATTATTGGGACGCATATTGGATTGTGAAAGGTTTAATTGCAAGTGACCTACTCGTAATGGTCAGGAATATGCTGAAGAACTTCATCCATTGTGTCAAAAAATGAGTTTTTGTTGCTTCGAATTAACAAATTAATAATGACCTATGTTTCATCATTAATATTTATTTCATAGGCGAAACCTCCACCAAATACAAATCTAATTCTGACAACAACAGCAATTATATTCTGACAACAACAGCAACTATAATAATAATAATAATAATTTCTGATCTAAAATAGACATCAAAAAAACAGGATTGTCAACATATAAAAAGTAGCTTAGATCAGAAACAAACTGTGGTAGATCTTTTAGCGAATGAAAAAAAAAAAAAAAAAAGAAACAATGGTTTAATGTGATCATTGTGTGTGACCAATCAGAGAAAATTTCTCGGAAATTATTTCGTACAGCAGACTGAAGTAATTTGTGGTAGAGTGTAGCCATTTATTGGAGAAGAAATCATAATTCTCACTGTTTTCTACAATTGTTGTTCCTTGAGACTTTTCTTTTCCTATCAACCGGAATAGCTTACTGAATATCAGTCCTGGCATGGCTTCAGAACTGCTTCTTTAATCTAATCAAATTATTGTGCATTTTCAGAATAGTCTTTCCTTTTAGGTTTGGATTTGTACCGAACGGTGGACGTATCTATTATTTGAGACGTTCACAACCACCATTTCTCACCCCAATGATGTACGAATATTACGAAGCCACGGGAGATATTGAATTCATAAAGGAAAATTTCAATCACCTTGTAAAAGAATATGAATTTTGGGTTCAAAACAGGTAAATATGATCAGTGGATGAATGTACTCAAGATTTATTAATAAGTAAAATAACTTCTCAGAGACTTTGAAACCAAACTTTTCTCTCAATTCTCATGGGAATGATCGACTGGTGTGCTGATAATGCAACTTACATAGATCTATGATCTCTGATGCAGTGCCAATATGTCGTTTTCGAATGTCAATTGATTCTGAAAAGTTGAGTATAAAAAATAAATGGAAAATGTAAGGTCAGGTCAATATCAGTGATGGATGAGAAGGGATATAAACACAAAATATATCAGTATCGTACTATTTCAAATGTACCTCGTCCGGAATCATTCCGAGCTGATATTCAAGCTGCAGTAGAAGTTGGGAAAAACGACAGGCAGAAATTCTTTCAGGTATTAATATTCATATAATAAAATAGAATAAAGGAATATCCTGAACGAAGCACTATAAGTCGATCGCTTGCAGAGTGTTATGAAACTATTTTTGTTATTTTCAGGTGAAATTCTCATTGAACGCTAACAGAGACGAAATAGTGTTGTAAATAGTGTGTGAGTGAGTAGTGGCGACAATTGATAGCAGAGCTATTTTGCAGGATATTGCATCAGCGGCGGAATCCGGTTGGGACTTTTCGTCGCGGTGGTTCAGAGATAGAAATACAATGAAAACCATTGAAACAACTAATATTTTACCGGTCGATCTGAATTCACTGCTCTGTTGGAATGTCAATATTCTCAAATACTTTGCTAATATCATCGGTATATTTCCCATTGCTTCCTTGCACTTGCAGCAGTGCAAGTAATAATATCAATTACAACAGGTAATACACAGAAGGCAGAGGAATTTGAGAAGAAAGGACAAGAAGCTTGGAAAGCCTTAAATGCCATATTTTACAATAAATTGAAAAAGGCTTGGTTCGACTACAATTTCCGCATCAAATCACATAATACCTTGTTCTACCCAACCGTTGCAATGCCTCTATTCACGGGCTGTTATACAATGTTGGATTACGGTAAATCGACAAAAGTTATTGACTTTATGAATGTAAGTTTCATAGAATTGTCAAATATACATTGTAACAATTGCGCCAACAAAACTGGTGTGGAATTTGATGAATGATCAATGGAGTGCTATATCAATCGAAATAACAGAAATTTTGCTTTAAATTCGAACTTTTCCTGCTATTATCTCTGACACTTTGCATTCATTAGCAGCTTATTGTAGGAATCAAATGTTTTCAATTATCCAAGTGGTATACCGGCAAGCCTAAAGAATACCGGACAGCAATGGGACTTGCCGAACGGTTGGCCTCCCTTGCAGCACATAATCATTGAAGGGATGCGGAAATCCGACAATCCCGAAGCTCAGGAAATGGTAAATTAACATGGAATAATCATTTGTGTAACAATCCAAAATCGCCGATATATTCTTTTCAAATTTTGTTGAGCATTTTAAAAGCTCTGAAATCAATAATGGTTCATTATAAGACTCTTACAGGCATTCAAATTGGCACGAAAATGGATATTAGCCAATTACAAGATATATAATACAACCAAAAAAATGTGGGAAAAAGTTTGTCTTGGCATTTCGAGTCATAATTACGCATAAACAAAGTTAATAGGCCTAATTTTTAGCTTAGACTCAACTACTGATCTTTTCGAGAAGTTCATTTTATAACAACTTTTGCGTACTACTATCCACCTCTCCATTCATTTTTCATCAGTGCCAGTAACAATTATTGATATCAGTAGAGACTGGATATCTTATCCACAAGTGAAACTTGACAATTAGTTCATCTTAACACTCATTTCTGTTTGTTTAGATTGATGTTACTGGGACAATTCCCAAGCCAGGAGCTGGTGGCGAGTATGACGTACAGGTATTCCACTTATGAAATTCATTTTATTTCGATGAAATATTTATGCACTTATTTCGATCAGTTTATCACTTCATCACAATCAGTTTTATTCTTTTTTCTAGGATGGTTTTGGATGGACAAATGGTGTTGTCCTAGACCTTTTGACTACTTATTATGATCGAATGACTATTGGAGACATTGGACAAAATGTCACGCATGGGCCATCCGTTAGACCCTGTCGCAGTAAAACGTATCGCATCCGTTACAGACTAGTTCCATTGCTTTGCATCACCGTTTTTTATTTCCTCAGACTTTAGCTGTTATGCACAGAAAATGTATTTAATTTTTCTAAATTGGTTTCATCATGGCATTTGCCAATCGATCGATATGCATTAATAAAGTATTTTTGTGGATTTGAGAGATTGTCATCCGTGCAACAAACATTTCCTCTAGGGGGAAGGGAGAGAGAGGGAAAATTTTTGATGCGGAAGGACATACAATTCACCACCATTCTTAACTTCTTCTACTGTTTGCTTCTTTCATCTATTGATTTAACTAAGATCAAAAGAGTTATTTACTGGGAAAAATGATTCTGTTTCTTTTCGATACTATTGAGTTAATAATTCAAATTTTAATATGAATTAAACTAACATCCATCAGAGCTGTTCTAATGCAATAATCAAACCCATTAATACTTCTCTTTCAAAGAGAACATTTTGCAATTCTCTTAAAGATGAACTACAACAACAAGGATCTTTCTTAGTTGTCGAAATATGATTACTTCTGCGTGATAATTTGCAATTGAATCAGGAGAGATCAGTTAGATTTGAAGTAACAAACATTTCTAATAAGTATTAGATATCATCAGTGACTGTATCGTAGTGAACATGATGTTTGAATAATGAAAAAACAAATTGCAATTTGTAAAATATTACAAAATAATAAGTGGTATGATGCTCTGAAAGGTTTCCTATAAATAGTATTTCTATAGATATCTAAATCTTTTATAGATTCCATTGCATACTGGACGTAGTTTCAGTATGAGGTGGTATGGAACATGAGGATTATATGACAATTCCAATCCCGATCTTTTGATCCCCAAAAATTCAAAGGATGGAGAGAATGAAAGTTCCCCTGCACCACCTCCAACATTCGCTATTTTTTTTATTCCGATATACCGAATATATGTATTGCAAACGAGTGATTAAGTGGCAGCAACTTCATTTGTAAAAAGATCAATGTAGTACAATCAATAAATACAAGTATAAGGTAATAAAGTAGTGAAAAACAATTATATTTTCTTTCGAGATCCTTTACCGACATGTTGAATATGTATTGCAAATGATGAGTTATTAAGCGGCAGTAAATATAAGTATAAATAAAGTCAATAAATACAAGTATAAATAAAGTAGTGCAACAGTGGAAAAATATAGTACAGTTCCCGATTGTACACGTGAAAAAAAAATAAACAACAAACAATAAATGGTAGTGAATTATGTGCAAATTTTGCGCACATATCTAGAAACAATAAAAAATACAATCAAGATCATATATAAACATCGATAAATTCAAGTAATTCTGCCACTTTTATAGATAAAAAAAAAAAAAAGAAACAAAGAAAGAAAGAAAGGAATTGAGAGATTATTGAAAAAATTTGTTTGATAAGTCGAATATTCATCCCTACTGTATAAAATTTGATTTGTTGACTGACTGTAGCATTGAAAATTGAGATTCCATAGAAAAAAGTTGATCACAAATATCAGCGACTTATGTTTGATGAGGTGGATATTCATCATTGTTGTGTAAAACATAACTTCTTGACTGACTGTACCATTCATTCCAAACAGACCAGATTGACATCTAAGAACAACAATGTTCAAAGGAAAGAACAAAGTTCATAGAAAACGGAAGTGAAGTTTACGTAAGGTCATCATAACGAACAAGAGAAAATCCTCACCTGTTCATGAGTTCGTGGGAATGAAGAATATGCAGTTGCTTGTGCAACAGATGGATAAACAACTGGTTGTTGACCATAAAACATACCAGAGCCATATTGTCTATTTACAGTGGACGGATTCTGCTACAATATATATATATATATATACATATTTAAAGTATAAATTTCTTTCGTTTGAAAAAAATAAATGAAATTAATTGTTTCTGTAATGTCACATTCATTTCAAAGATTAAATTGCTAAATATATGAATTAAATTGCTAAATATATGAAATAAAAATGATAAAATATATGAAAAAATAAAGTATGACGAAGTAATAGTTGAGAATTGAAATTTCAGACAATATAAGCATATTTATTTACAGTAGATGAAAAACATACCGGCATTTGATAATAACCAGACATCGGAATACCGTATCCACTTGGTTGTCCAATGATTCCACTTGCACCGTATATCGTTCCTGCTTGATTATATAGCGTCGTCTGGAAAATGGAAATGAATGGAAAATATTATAATACAAATATAATATGTTGTAATTTTTCAACACTACTACACGTAATGTAGACTTAGCAATAAAAATATGGCATGGCAAGAACTCTAGTAATGCACAAAATAACAATAACTACCACAAAAGAAAAAATTACAATAACTTACAGTAGTTACCTGTGCAACTGATGCTACATAATAAATTGGCATCGAATAATAATTATATCCACTCATCGCCGCATTTCCTCCAATTGAACCACTCGTTGTTGCTGCTGGCGTAGTCTAAAATATTTCACGTACGAGATCCATCAGGTAAGAGGTAAAACAAAATGTAAGGTGACTTTTCCACAACCTTAGTAATGCATGAAATAATAATAGCTAGCAAGACTTACCTGTGTAACTGATGTTGTATAATAAGCTGGCATCGAATAATAATTATATCCACTCATCGCCGCATTTCCTCCAATTGAATCACTCGCTGTTGCTGCTGGCGTAGTCTAAAATATTTCACGTACGAGATCCATCAGGTAAGAGGTAAAACAAAATGTAAGGTGACTTTTCCACAACCTTAGTAATGCATGAAATAATAATAGCTAGCAAGACTTACCTGTGTAACTGATGTTGTATAATAAGCTGGCATCGAATAATAATTATATCCACTCATCGCCGCATTTCCTCCAATTGAACCACTCGTTGTTGCTGCTGGCGTAGTCTAAAATATTTCACGTACGAGATCCATCAGGTAAGAGGTAAAACAAAATGTAAGGTGACTTTTCCACAACCTTAGTAATGCATGAAATAATAATAGCTAGCAAGACTTACCTGTGTAACTGATGTTGTATAATAAGCTGTCATCGAATAATAATTATATCCACTCATCGCCGCATTTCCTCCAATTGAACCACTCGTTGTTGCTGCTGGCGTAGTCTAAAATATTTCACGTACGAGATCCATCTGTGTTTTAGGTAAGAGATGATATAACAAAATTTATCGTTGATTTTTTCATTACTAGATAAAGAAGCTTTGCTAGATAAAAACTTGATAATGCATTGATTACATAAAAGAACCAACTTGCTGAAATTGCCCACTATAACAAGCTGGCATGACAATACCATCTCCACTTCTTTGTACAAATGGAAAATTTCGTGATTGTGATGGCTTAGCATGCACAATTGACGGTCGACTCTAAAATTGATAATGTTCATCAATTTGTCATCGTGAAATTTTATTCTTCACATTAAACTGTTTAATATTTGCAGAAATTGACAGAAATTAAGTGTTCAATTAATGAAGTATGAGTAACTAATTATTTAGCTTAAAACAGTATAAAATGTTTACCTGAATAGCTAAGGTAATTTGATCGATTGAAGTGAAACTTTGACGATGCGATGAATTTGCGATAGGTGCGGATAAAAAAAACTCTATGATCTCTACTGCTTTATGACCTCTTAGGGAGGTCAAATGAAGAATTAAGAATTGAACCGACTACAAATCTTTCAGAAGTGAAAACTGATAAGTTAATTAAAATTGATATGTAATAAAAAACTGAATAAGTATTTACATTTGAACATAATGTTCCATTCACTTTGTCGAAGTTTTATTATTGCGAAGTGCATATTTGGTGATTAAATTAATTTCAAATTAATTCTTACAAATCAGCATAATATTTTTATTTGCTCATTACATATATTTTATCTACACTTTTGTAACACCGATCTTATTAAAATCGCACTACAATTCACTTTGAACTCATCAAAATTTAAAAAGCTTTTTACATTTCTTGGGGTTAAAGGTCTCAAAGCAAAATATCAGTAAGAATGAAAACGACAAATTGTATTTTTTTTACATTCTCCTGAAATTCAATAGAAATCCATAATGTTTTCTAATGCGAAATTGGCAATAAGATTATTTTATTTTCCTTTTTTTAATTTTAACTTTATTTTCAAAATTTAGATTTCAGATTCAAAATTATTTTGATTATTTTAATTTTATTTTTAGTTTCTAGACTGAATTTGAATTCATACAGCATTTCCATGTTCTATATTTTAACTCAACAATATATTTGTTTTATGAAACGATTTAAAAATGGGATTTATATTGCACATCTCATTTGAAAATTGTTTGCGGTTAAGGTTTTTTTCTCTCTCGACTATCTCAAGTGGGCGGGATCTCGTGTTCAAAATACCTATCGGCATCGATTTTTGTTCTCTTTTTTACAGGTATGGTCGCATTCTACAATTCTTTCGTTTAAAGGTTGAAGTAAAACTGCTGTGTAAGGATGATGAGGTTTTGCGGGATGAAAAATTAAAATTTTTATTTCTAACTTTCTTCAGCCAATCAAATCTGCCCTATGAATAGGCATGGCATACTGTAGGGAAATGAAACTGAAAGGTATTTCAGAAATTTACTATATTTCATTTTCTAGTCAATTTTAATTGTCAGTTAACAATTTTGAATGAGAAAATTCTTTCTCAAAAGCTACGATTGGCTAATATTGGGATTATTGCTTGTAAAGTATATCTTTTATAGAAGCATAATTAGATGCCTCGGATTATCTTCCTTCCTGCAAATGTGAGAATGATGTAGGAATTTTCATTTTCACATATTTCTCATTACAATGCTTCAAAAAGGATCATACCTATTCTATTATTTGCACACTTTTCCTTTCAATAAATAAATTCTTATCATCAGTAAGTATTAGGATGGATTCTTTTAATGACAATTGTGTAACAATTCTATTAATTCTATTCACACTTCCGTTTATTTCAATTAACTCATCGAATTGCTTTTTTTGGTTCATTTTCTTGCACCCTGGTGAATTTATTTAGTGTAGATAAGAACTAAATTTATCACTTTCTTTCGTATATTTTCCATTGTCAAAGTAAATTTTTCATCTGCATATTCACAATTAGTAATTTCTCAACGACCATCACATATACTCCATCACTGTAAAGGTGAAACAGGGATAATGCTTAATTAACGATTAGATGACTAAAGTATCCTTTGCAATGTTCGACAATACGTCATATCATTTCATACTTAATGCATTCATTCCATCCTTATTTCGAAGCAAATATTTCAACTACGCATTTTCGTATTTTCACTCTTTTGTCTTGCATATATTTCATATGAAGCAGTAAAAAACTGAATTCTTCAAAATTAAATATTAGTTATTTTTTCTTGACCTTTAATTAGTATAGTAATTTAAATAATTAGTTCACCCTTAACCCCATTGCCGACATTTTTGAAATCTTTATTTGCAAGACTATATGTTGTAATTTCTTCGGGAAATGAAAGTGCTGTTTTATATTTAAATAAAAACAATGAAAACTGTAAATATATTATTTAGATAGATAAGCCATGGAAGAAATAGGAAATTTCAAAGTGGTTGAAATGCAAGAAACGGAAATATCATCTAAACTTAAAAAGTTACCTAAACCAATTGGTTATGAACGTGGGCTTTTATTGGCTCAAAGGAATCACAAGGACTCTCCAGGTTTGTTTGTTGTAAAGTTTTTATTTACAACTTTTTCCTTACATGAAAGATTGTTTATGATTAAATAATAAATTTTCAGGGTATTCTAAGGAAGACACTGAGCAAAACGCAGAAGTACCACTAGCTGATTCAGAATCCTGGATACCATGGTTGGATGATCGATTAGAAAGAGCGGTTGCTGAAGTATTTAATTTTAAACCATTAGGTATTTTTTATTTATAATAGTAATGAATGATTTTTTGCAATTTACAATATTATTTTCTCTTGCTTATGATTAAATAAATTTATAACGAATCGTTTGACAGTCATCTGAAATAGCAATAAAAACACCGTTAACTTATTTAGAAGACTTTTGGATGTCACTGAGGAATATTGAAGTGGAAAATGAAATGACTATAATATTAAGCAATACACAAACTGCTGAGGAAGTGAGTCGCGAATCAGCAGGTATCAATAATTAGTAAATCAATTATTAACGGTTGTGTTCCAGTGGAAATCATATTGAAACGTAATAATCATTCTTTTAGATTCAACGTCTCCGGATAGATCAGAGAATGATAATGATGATGATACGTTGACAACATCCACTCCTGCTGAATCGAACACGATATTATCCGAAACAGAAGCAGCAACAGCTGTAGTTTTATCACAATCAGGAATTACACAAACTACAACTACCGCTTCCGTAGCATTTGAAAGTGAACAAACGGAGCAATCATCTGCGCCGGATCAGATAGTAGCAAGTGTAGCAGCAAATAATGCATTAAACAGGCAAGAATATATTATAATTTGTTCCTTGCAAATTATTTGCTGCAAATGAAGGATGATCAATTTAACATTTACAATCAATAATTATTAACATATTAACAATAACAGGGAAGAATTCATTTGGAATTTGGATACACCGCCACTTGTACCACACAATTTAATTAATAATCTGTCTTGTCCAATACTGAATGGAATTCGAACTAACGATGCACCACTACCGATTTTATCCGCACCTATCGTAAATTCATCGCATCGTCAAAGTTTCACTTCAATCGATCAAATTACCTTAGCTATTCAGGTAAACATTTTATACTGTTTTAAGCTAAATAATTAGTTACTCATACTTCATTAATTGAACACTTAATTTCTGTCAATTTCTGCAAATATTAAACAGTTTAATGTGAAGAATAAAATTTCATGATGACAAATTGATGAACATTATCAATTTTAGAGTCGACCGTCAATTGTGCATGCTAAGCCATCACAATCACGAAATTTTCCATTTGTACAAAGAAGTGGAGATGGTATTGTCATGCCAGCTTGTTATAGTGGGCAATTTCAGCAAGTTGGTTCTTTTATGTAATCAATGCATTATCAAGTTTTTATCTAGCAAAGCTTCTTTATCTAGTAATGAAAAAATCAACGATAAATTTTGTTATATCATCTCTTACCTAAAACACAGATTATTATGGATTTCTATTGAATTTCAGGAGAATGTAAAAAAAATACAATTTGTCGTTTTCATTCTTACTGATATTTTGCTTTGAGACCTTTAACCCCAAGAAATGTAAAAAGCTTTTTAAATTTTGATGAGTTCAAAGTGAATTGTAGTGCGATTTTAATAAGATCGATGTTACAAAAGTGTAGATAAAATATATGTAATGAGCAAATAAAAATATTATGCTGATTTGTAAGAATTAATTTGAAATTAATTTAATCACCAAATATGCACTTCGCAATAATAAAACTTCGACAAAGTGAATGGAACATTATGTTCAAATGTAAATACTTATTCAGTTTTTTATTACATATCAATTTTAATTAACTTATCAGTTTTCACTTCTGAAAGATTTGTAGTCGGTTCAATTCTTAATTCTTCATTTGACCTCCCTAAGAGGTCATAAAGCAGTAGAGATCATAGAGTTTTTTTTATCCGCACCTATCGCAAATTCATCGCATCGTCAAAGTTTCACTTCAATCGATCAAATTACCTTAGCTATTCAGGTAAACATTTTATACTGTTTTAAGCTAAATAATTAGTTACTCATACTTCATTAATTGAACACTTAATTTCTGTCAATTTCTGCAAATATTAAACAGTTTAATGTGAAGAATAAAATTTCATGATGACAAATTGATGAACATTATCAATTTTAGAGTCGACCGTCAATTGTGCATGCTAAGCCATCACAATCACGAAATTTTCCATTTGTACAAAGAAGTGGAGATGGTATTGTCATGCCAGCTTGTTATAGTGGGCAATTTCAGCAAGTTGGTTCTTTTATGTAATCAATGCATTATCAAGTTTTTATCTAGCAAAGCTTCTTTATCTAGTAATGAAAAAATCAACGATAAATTTTGTTATATCATCTCTTACCTAAAACACAGATGGATCTCGTACGTGAAATATTTTAGACTACGCCAGCAGCAACAACGAGTGGTTCAATTGGAGGAAATGCGGCGATGAGTGGATATAATTATTATTCGATGACAGCTTATTATACAACATCAGTTACACAGGTAAGTCTTGCTAGCTATTATTATTTCATGCATTACTAAGGTTGTGGAAAAGTCACCTTACATTTTGTTTTACCTCTTACCTGATGGATCTCGTACGTGAAATATTTTAGACTACGCCAGCAGCGACAGCGAGTGATTCAATTGGAGGAAATGCGGCGATGAGTGGATATAATTATTATTCGATGCCAGCTTATTATACAACATCAGTTACACAGGTAAGTCTTGCTAGCTATTATTATTTCATGCATTACTAAGGTTGTGGAAAAGTCACCATACATTTTGTTTTACCTCTTACCTGATGGATCTCGTACGTGAAATATTTTAGACTACGCCAGCAGCAACAACGAGTGGTTCAATTGGAGGAAATGCGGCGATGAGTGGATATAATTATTATTCGATGCCAATTTATTATGTAGCATCAGTTGCACAGGTAACTACTGTAAGTTATTGTAATTTTTTCTTTTGTGGTAGTTATTGTTATTTTGTGCATTACTAGAGTTCTTGCCATGCCATATTTTTATTGCTAAGTCTACATTACGTGTAGTAGTGTTGAAAAATTACAACATATTATATTTGTATTATAATATTTTCCATTCATTTCCATTTTCCAGACGACGCTATATAATCAAGCAGGAACGATATACGGTGCAAGTGGAATCATTGGACAACCAAGTGGATACGGTATTCCGATGTCTGGTTATTATCAAATGCCGGTATGTTTTTCATCTACTGTAAATAAATATGCTTATATTGTCTGAAATTTCAATTCTCAACTATTACTTCGTCATACTTTATTTTTTCATATATTTTATCATTTTTATTTCATATATTTAGCAATTTAATTCATATATTTAGCAATTTAATCTTTGAAATGAATGTGACATTACAGAAACAATTAATTTCATTTATTTTTTTCAAACGAAAGAAATTTATACTTTAAATATGTATATATATATATATATATATATATTGTAGCAGAATCCGTCCACTGTAAATAGACAATATGGCTCTGGTATGTTTTATGGTCAACAACCAGTTGTTTATCCATCTGTTGCACAAGCAACTGCATATTCTTCATTCCCACGAACTCATGAACAGGTGAGGATTTTCTCTTGTTCGTTATGATGACCTTACGTAAACTTCACTTCCGTTTTCTATGAACTTTGTTCTTTCCTTTGAACATTGTTGTTCTTAGATGTCAATCTGGTCTGTTTGGAATGAATGGTACAGTCAGTCAAGAAGTTATGTTTTACACAACAATGATGAATATCCATCTCATCAAACATAAGTCGCTGATATTTGTGATCAACTTTTTTCTATGGAATCTCAATTTTCAATGCTACAGTCAGTCAACAAATCAAATTTTATACAGTAGGGATGAATATTCGACTTATCAAACAAATTTTTTCAATAATCTCTCAATTCCTTTCTTTCTTTCTTTGTTTCTTTTTTTTTTTTTATCTATAAAAGTGGCAGAATTACTTGAATTTATCGATGTTTATATATGATCTTGATTGTATTTTTTATTGTTTCTAGATATGTGCGCAAAATTTGCACATAATTCACTACCATTTATTGTTTGTTGTTTATTTTTTTTTCACGTGTACAATCGGGAACTGTACTATATTTTTCCACTGTTGCACTACTTTATTTATACTTGTATTTATTGACTTTATTTATACTTATATTTACTGCCGCTTAATAACTCATCATTTGCAATACATATTCAACATGTCGGTAAAGGATCTCGAAAGAAAATATAATTGTTTTTCACTACTTTATTACCTTATACTTGTATTTATTGATTGTACTACATTGATCTTTTTACAAATGAAGTTGCTGCCACTTAATCACTCGTTTGCAATACATATATTCGGTATATCGGAATAAAAAAAATAGCGAATGTTGGAGGTGGTGCAGGGGAACTTTCATTCTCTCCATCCTTTGAATTTTTGGGGATCAAAAGATCGGGATTGGAATTGTCATATAATCCTCATGTTCCATACCACCTCATACTGAAACTACGTCCAGTATGCAATGGAATCTATAAAAGATTTAGATAGATATCTATAGAAATACTATTTATAGGAAACCTTTCAGAGCATCATACCACTTATTATTTTGTAATATTTTACAAATTGCAATTTGTTTTTTCATTATTCAAACATCATGTTCACTACGATACAGTCACTGATGATATCTAATACTTATTAGAAATGTTTGTTACTTCAAATCTAACTGATCTCTCCTGATTCAATTGCAAATTATCACGCAGAAGTAATCATATTTCGACAACTAAGAAAGATCCTTGTTGTTGTAGTTCATCTTTAAGAGAATTGCAAAATGTTCTCTTTGAAAGAGAAGTATTAATGGGTTTGATTATTGCATTAGAACAGCTCTGATGGATGTTAGTTTAATTCATATTAAAATTTGAATTATTAACTCAATAGTATCGAAAAGAAACAGAATCATTTTTCCCAGTAAATAACTCTTTTGATCTTAGTTAAATCAATAGATGAAAGAAGCAAACAGTAGAAGAAGTTAAGAATGGTGGTGAATTGTATGTCCTTCCGCATCAAAAATTTTCCCTCTCTCTCCCTTCCCCCTAGAGGAAATGTTTGTTGCACGGATGACAATCTCTCAAATCCACAAAAATACTTTATTAATGCATATCGATCGATTGGCAAATGCCATGATGAAACCAATTTAGAAAAATTAAATACATTTTCTGTGCATAACAGCTAAAGTCTGAGGAAATAAAAAACGGTGGTGCAAAGCAATGGAACTAGTCTGTAACGGATGCGATACGTTTTACTGCGACAGGGTCTAACGGATGGCCCATGCGTGACATTTTGTCCAATGTCTCCAATAGTCATTCGATCATAATAAGTAGTCAAAAGGTCTAGGACAACACCATTTGTCCATCCAAAACCATCCTAGAAAAAAGAATAAAACTGATTGTGATGAAGTGATAAACTGATCGAAATAAGTGCATAAATATTTCATCGAAATAAAATGAATTTCATAAGTGGAATACCTGTACGTCATACTCGCCACCAGCTCCTGGCTTGGGAATTGTCCCAGTAACATCAATGTAAATAAAAGAACCGAACAAAAAACTCTTTACCGGACAAATCACTTTTATCAACAAATTTGCAACGATCATCTGTTATCATTGATAAGAGTTTGCCTAACTAATATCAGCCAAATTACTTGTAAGTTAATGTTAATCACTATATCAATATCTAAATTAATTGCTACTTTATTTCATTAGGTTGTATTCATTTTATTCCTAAATATTTGAAATTCCAAACTGAACAAAATCAGTACGTATTGGTTTCATGTATTTCAATCACTGAGAATTAGATTTTGATGCATGCTAGGGACAAAAATATTTAAATTAGCGCTACAATAAATTCAAAATTTGCGCTAAAATTAAGCACCAACTGAAGACTTTGGTGCTATAGATATTCAAAATATATACTTAAAATATTTATTCAAAGTATCCGTACAAATAAATATAAACAAATCAAATCGTAACCAACAACAAAATAAAACAAAAAAAGAAAAGAACTTGTAACTGTAATTATATAACTTTATCTTCCAAACCGCAACTAATCTTACATGTATTGCTGCAATGTTCCAAAAAATTCATTCTGTTTGTTCATCACTCATTTGTGAAATGTCCTGCTGCAAGCCAACGTCCGCCATATAACCTGTTACCTCGGTTCAATACTCCTCTACGACCGTTCTCGATCGAACGACAACCTGAAGCTGTCTCATACGACTCTAATTTGCGTCTATCAAGTTACTTCATCATTGAACAAATAAAACCTTCCCAACATGTTTCTTGAAAGTACTTCTGTCAAATGCTCAACCCTAAAGAATTTTGATTTCAAGGTTTCTTGGTTCAGAACATATTATCACTCCTTGATGAAGCATTAATTCTGAGAATTTTTTGATTTGCAGATTTTTCCTTTTACGGAAAAAGAGCTATCATCACGAGTAGACCCAACCCAACTAATCCAAGTCTATACTTGAGTCCTACCATTGTTTCCATCGAGTCATTTGCAGTGTCAACATTTCACTTTCATTCCTTTACCCATCATACTTTGAGACACAGAAAATCTGAAATTACATAGAACAAACCCGATCTGGATACCTTTCCCTTACCCATCATATCTTGAGAACATATGACACTGCAATTTTGTTCTATCTGGCCAAGCACCTCTACTTGCATTGGCATCTGCCAGAAATTAAATTCATTTGTATGATTAATCAAACAATGTGCTTGCAATTTGTTGCATAAAGTAATCTGAGTTGTCATCCAAGAGGAAACAGACAGCACGAGGAAGTGTGGGCAGGAATATTGTCATTCGCTGTACATTAGCCATCAACAACTAAAACAAACGATATCGAATGAATGTAAAAATAACTGAGAGAGACAACGAGAGCAATTACTTCATAGAACGGAACGACGGAGAGAGAGGGAAGGAGGAAGTGAGTGTGCCAAGGGCCAAGCTAAAAGGAGAAAGACAAAGAAATAATTGCAAGATGGAAAGGATAACAGACATATCGCTGACGGAACGTTTCCACTTCTGCTTTTAGATGATTTCACAAAATTTTGAACTCTTCTGACCTCTATGACAAATAGCTTACCTTCAAAATATACAACATGTGACATGATGTTTGATGTTTGTTGTGAGCCAAAACCTTCAGTTGACAACCTAAATTGAATTTCTCGATGTTTATATCCTTTTAAGAAAGTCATATTGGTCTTTACTTGCTGACTATTCGATATAATTTGCGCGAAATTTAAACCTTTCTTAATTGGTGAACTTCAGTAGGCAAAATAATACTTGGAAAACTCTTTCGGGGCACGTAACTGCACAAATAGTACTGCGTGCTGCATACCGACATACTAACATGTTGCATTCATCGTTCATTCGCATTTGAATCCTTCAAACAGCAATAAAATCAATGATGAGATGAAAACTGTTCCTACATGTCACATCGGTTGAGGTTAGGCAGGAAGGCAAAGAGAAGTCTTAAGCTCTTATATAACTGAAATTGCTGGTAGATCACTTCCTCTTCATCTGGTCCCTCTTCTCTCTCTTTCCTTGCACATTTATTCATTTATGACATCAGTGAGACCGTCTGTCAGATGTCAACGAGATGTATAATGTCGGAAGACAAGAACCATCCAACCTCTGTAAAAAACAGTGCTGGCAATGATGGTAGAGAGAGTAGCACATCGAGTCACAATTGTCATTTCGTTCTTCCAATTAGATTAGCTTTCAGAGCTTTCAATGATTTATGCTATTTCAAGAAAAATTCTCTGATGAACAAACACATATATAAATGAACATGGCATTGTCTTAAATAAATATACATAAAAATACGGGTAACTGACAAAAATTAGAGAGGGAGATTAAAAAAGCAAGCGTTCCTGTCGACGCACTTCAAATTGTTCTCCATTTTATGTGTGGGCGCTGATTTAAAAGATGTGAAGGAATGAGGTGAGAAGAAACATCTCGAAGTGATAACGGCAACAATGGTAGCATATCAGTGTGATATTATCAACGTGATATTGTTCCAGACCGAATAAATAAGAACCCTGACTCTTGTAATTTATGGTTTTCTGTTTGCTAACCCGCCACCCCTTCCATGGGAAGAAGAAGCTGTACGGTGAAATTGGAATACTCTCAGATATGTCTTACTAATCGCGACGAAGATGCCCGTGGGAGCATCGTTGCTTACCCTACTCGACCGCCTCCTTTGCAATGGGCTACAGTTTGCTACAGTTACTTACAGATTGATCCATGAACTTGGCTATGTTAAACACAATTCTTACCTAACCCGCAGCTATGTTAAGGTTGCAACAACCGCTATTAAACCTCGAACGATGAGAAGATTGAAGCGTTGAGCAGCATTTGATAGAAAAAGAAACGCAGATTATGGAATAATTTGTCGTCTATTTCAATGACGCCAAGACGTTCATCGATGAGATTCTGAACCCGCAAAGCAGTGAAACATATTCAATATTGCATATGACGCTATACCCAATGACTCTTTGCAACAAGGTAATTTCTCATCTTCTGCAACCAGGTAACAATCTCTGGAACCGATTATGACTGATACACTATCTGTAGTCCCTACTGATAGTAGCAATAGTCGTAAAAGCATTGAACAAGCTAACATTGACCATACGCCATCCCTCCTTGTTCACTGGAATTATCAGTCCAATAGTCTTCTCAATAGGAAGAATAAATTTAGGTAGCACTACTGCTTCTGCTTGATACTCGCGAGAAGTTCACATTAGGGATGAGGAAATAAAGCCTACAGCCGACTGACCCCATCGTATAGTATGTTGATTTCTCGAAGGTCAAACAGCATTTATTAATCACTATATTATGCTGTCAGCTATATTTGTTGCTCATCTACACTTGAATCATCGTAAAACGTTCATGTTAGATTTATCGAAATTGAATTTTGTCTAATAATAATTCCATTAACACTTCGAGTAATAATAAGCCCATTAACGTCATAAGGCATTAAGAAGTGAATTTTTCCCCAGACGTAGTTAGAACATTTTCCTGGGACTGTAGTATTAAGCAAATCAATTCGTAGCCTTTTACTCATTAAACTTATGACAAATAGTAATTGAATAGAACAGAAACGGAAAATAATTTGTACAAAAACAGCTTTGCTTTGATTTGGGACCTGGATATTCACCGTAAAAGGTTATGCTAGATTTGTTGAAATTAAATTTTGTGCTAATTGACTAACGAAAGGTTGCAACTATTAATCAACTGACGTCACAAACATTTAAAATCTAAAATCTCGATAATACTTAGTACTAATAATTTAGTACCAATATTTCATCAAACAACGCAAATAGGATTATTTAGTTTAAATATTTCATCATTAGATTAAATGTTTCACCCATTGACATTTAATTTCAACTATTCATTAATTTCTACTTATGCATTTATGCAAATGCTACCCTATTGTATGAATGCAGTTTAAAATTTGTCCCATCCTTTCAAACATCAAATATTATCCCAGCATATGTTGAAAATTTTTTTGATAATAGCAGCAATAGCAATGGATCTATGTCAAAAAGCAATAATTATCAAATTTCAGGTGATGCGCCCATCCCATAAAGTTCCATGAGTGATACTATGAGTAGGATGCAACATTGATTTTATTAAATGAATCAAATTAAGTGCTTAAAAACGCCAATTGCTTTTCCACATATTGAAATAACCTATCAGTATCCAAAGCATCAGATTTACGTACATGCTATTATAACGCTTCTTTTCGGTTCACAAAAACACACATAAATACCAGTCGGGGGAGAGAAAAGCGAGAATTTAAAAATATAACAAACAATGGACAGATTAAAAGCTGTTTAAACCTTTGATCTTTAATTTCAACCAATCTGAAATAAAGAGCTTTCGTGTGAGCATTTCTGTCATTTCACGAAATTTCGTGTTTCACTATGTTCTTCACTATACCTATGACACCAATTATTTGGCTCAATCTTTTGCTTTGCATCATCTCTGAAAAAAATAAAACTTTCCCTATAATTAACCCCGATAAAAGTGATGAAATTATCACATATACTACTCATTCTGGCACCTCAAACAGCTTTGATATCCTCGATTACAACAGTTTTGAGCCATTATTTGGCTCAGAATTTCCATCCGATCCTTCGCAGTTGATTGATTTCGATCAGTTGAGTGAAATTGAGGATATAAGTAGCAAAGAATCGATACCCGAGATCACAAATGCTCCTCATCCTGGCTTTTCAAACAGCCATGGTTTGTTGGGCCACACTAATTTGGGCTCATTACTTGGTTCATATACAGATTCAAATAGGAATGTGTGGAGAGATGCTAATCCGATCTATTTTCACCAACTTACTCTTTCCCCAGATGACACAACCGATCAACACGGAAATGCTGAACAGAATAACATGGGCAAGAAACACTTCTCGGATAACTTGATTGTCCGCGACTACAGGGAAAATGAAGGATCAGAAACAAGTAATGGCAAATTGCATTTTTACTTTCATCCAATCCATAAAATTAAACATATCTATCTCACTAAAACAAAAAATCTACAATTATCGATCGAAATTCCAGAAGTAACTTAAAAGTATAATTTTTACTTCAAATATGTGAGATGACGATATAGACAAATGCTTAGTACCTAAGATATTGAAATCTAAGTTATTTAGATACTCAAAGTGGAACTTCTTCGCCACTTAATGTCGACACCGATGACATTATTACATATATGCACTTACCTGGTTCACAACAAAATGCGGTTCCGATCTATTTTCACCAACTTACTCTTTCCTCGGACGACACATCCAGTCAACATGGAAATACTAAAGAGAGCAACATCGATAACAAACACTTCCTGAATAGCTTGAGTACCCACGACTGCAGGGGAAATACCAGTGAAGGATCAGAAACAGGTAATGATGAATTGCGCAACGATTTTTCGTTCTATCTCTTATAGTATTTCATTTTCATTAACAGCATGAAATTGTAGAAGTAATAACGAATCAAAAACCAAAACTCATTTCGCCGTTCAGAAGGCGATATTAAAAATATTATCATTGCTTAAAACATGTGAGAAGATAAGTAAATAACTACTTGTTACCTAAGTTATTTAAAATTCGATATGATATTTTTTTTATGGCACTGACATTTTTGTGATTTTCACATTACTTAACTACAAAATGGTATAATAGATTTATTAATTGCAAAAATACATTTTTTGACATGGATTTTTCAGATAACAAAAAGTATATTTGTCATTATCCCGGCTGTACTGTGATCACAAAAGATTACAAAGAATATATAACACATAAGAAATCTCACGGTCAGCCCTTCATCTATGAATGCAAAGTGCCCAGTTGTGGACGGACATTCCACCATGGTTCATCATTTCGCAATCACAAGCAAACGCATGAACCTCATCCTCAGTGCGAGGGTTGTGGCAAATTCTTTACCAGTAGGAATCAGCTACTGTATAATCACCAGAAGCATTGCCAAACAAATTTTCGTTAGTTTGCAAATTTAGCAGAATTTTAAAAGTATATGTCAGCCTAAAGTAGAATGCATTGGAATATGTTATAAAACATTTGTGTCACAATGAAACGGAAAATTCATAATTACACTATTTTTGCAACTATATCTGAACATAGTTAAACAGCTTCTTACGATCTAAATTATTTGAATGAGATTTTGGTAATACTTTTATGATTTATCAGATTACTTAATTAGCTGTCGAACACTACAATAGAACAGTAACAAAAAAAATAACACGACAATTCTTAAGGCGAACGAAGCTACGAATGCCTTTATCCCGGATGTACTATGATCACGAAAAATTACAAAGAATATGTAATACATAAAAAAACACATGGTCAACCCTTCATCTATGAATGCAGAGTGTCCGGTTGCGAGCGAATATTCCAGCATAAATCATCATTTTGCAATCACAAGCAAACGCATGAACCTCATCATCAATGCAAGTGCTGTGGAAAATTCTTCAGCACCATGTATGGACTACAAAGACATAAGAAGCTCTGCCCAACAAAATTTCGTTAGTTTGCAAATTTAGCAAACTTTTGAGCACACATATTAGCCTGAAATAAAATTGAAATGTGTTATGAAACATCCGTGATCGCTGAGTGACAATACAACAGAAAAATCTCAATTACATTTTTTGTTGTAGCTATACACCAAGATAATTAAGCATCTTTTTGTGATCTAAATTATTTGAAAATCATACTGGAATGCTAATTACAAAAACAAATGTCAATTTTTTTAGATAGACAAGGTTATGAATGCCATTATCCTGGATGTGCTGTGATCTCGAAAAGTTACAACGATAATATAAAGCATAAAGAAACACACAATGGACCTTTCATCTATGAATGCAAAGTGCCCAGTTGTGGACGGGCATTCCACCATGAATCATCATTTTGCAATCACAAGCAAACGCATGAACCTCGTCCTCAGTGCGAGGGTTGTGGCAAATTCTTCATCAGTAGGAATGGACTGCATTGTCATAAAAAGAGCTGCAAATCCCGTTAGTTTCCAAATTTAGCAAAATTTTAAACAGATATGTCAACCTGAAATAGAATGTGTGTGAAATGTATTATGAAACATTTGCGCGAACGCTGGGTGACAATACAAAATTCATTAGACACACTCATTAAGATGCTATATATTTTTTTTTGCACTCAGTACTACTACACACGACCTAAGAATCAATTGCTTAAAAATGTGTTGACAGTGGTGACAATGGCGCTTCAATATACAAACATCAACAAACATTGAAAATATCCTTTCACTCTTAATCAAATTGTTTTATTTTCCTAATTCGTGGAACGTATGCGGAAAAGCATATTATTCTATCCACAAAGCCAAACTACGACAAACTGCAATAATTTTTTTTTGGCGTTATAAAATTAAAAATTTTCATTCTAGAAAATGAGACACAATTTGGGCATTCTTCGCATGCATGAGAAAAGAGCGTAACAATCGGACGTTTTCGAGGCATCAGAATGCGGTGGCCAATTTATAATTTTATTTTATCATTGTGTTTTATAATATTTCATCTTTATTTAATATTCCATGAATATCACAGAAATGCATAAATGTACTAATTGGCAATAAAATTCGGGGGCAAGCATTTAAATGTACAAAATGCGTTCACAACTGAAATAAACGATTTGTTATGCAAAAAACCAACATGAAAAAGCATCATAAATGAGAAGCTAAAAATTTATAACAAAAATTGGCATCACGAAGTGGTTTTAAGCAAAGAAATGGTTTTTTTTCCTATATATATGAAAATTATAAGAAAAAATTTTCCACCTATAATTTAGCCTAACCTTAACATTCAAAATAAATGGCAGATATTATGTTTAATGAAAAAATTTCCCCGGGTATCCGACACTAAAAAATTTTGTAAGTTAATCGTTGAAAAGTGAATGTAGAAAAACATCAAAGATTTACAATCATCACAAGAACAATATTACTTTCCTATATATGAAAGGTACTGTTTCATATCTAATACAGAAGGTGACAAAACCAACATTTATCATCAAAATCAAAATTGTCGTCAAAAAGAGCAACAAATGTGCAGTTATTCCAATAAAATATGCAATTTTTCATGTAATCATATCATATGGAAAAGGATTAGGATGACATTTGCATTTGAGCCTAGGGTTAGGCTTAGGATGATACCTATACTTACACCATTAGAAGCTGCAACATTTTTCTCTTCATTATCACTCGCTCAGATGTATTATAACCATTCAATATACTATATTTTATTAAACAAAGCAGACAGGATTATTTAATACTGCACAATTGATTAAATATTTCACCATACGATGACATTTAATCCCAGCTATTCATCAATTTCATTTATGCAAATGTTACTCCATTTTGTCAACCAAACTTTTGAAAATTGTCCCATCTTTTCAAACATCGCTTATGTTGAAATTCTTTTTGATAATAGCAGTGGAATATGTCAAAAAGCAATAATTAGCAAATTTCAGGTGATGCGTCCATCCGACGAAGTTCCCATCAGTGATATTATCAATAGGTGTGTGGATGCGACTTTATTAAATGAACCCATTAAATCGAAAATGATTAGAATCTCATTCCTCACGTCGTATTACTGAAATGATGGAACAATATCCTTCCTAAGTAATCCTTTCGGATTCAAAAGAGCATTCATAAACTACCAGTTGGGCGAGAGAAAAACGAAAATGTAAAAGAAAAAAAAAAAAAAAACGATAAACAACAGGCAGATTAAAAACTGTTTGAACCTTTGATCTTTAATTGAAATAAAAAGCTTTCATTTGAATATTTCTGTCATTTCATAAAATTCTGTCCCATCATGTTCTTCACTGTATCTATAACACCAATCATCTGGTTCAATCTTCTGCTTTGCATCGCTTCTAATAAAAATGAAACTTCCCATCTACCTAATTTTGGTGCTGCTGATAAAATTGTTACAAATAATACTTATTCTGATATCTCAGACAGCTTTGATTACAACAATTTTGAGCCATTGTTTGGCTCAGAATTTCCATCCGATCCTTCGCAGTTGATTGATTTCGATCAGTTGAGTGAAATTGAGGATATAAGTAGCAAAGAATCGATACCCGAGATCACAAATGCTCCTCATCCTGGCTTTTCAAACAGCCATGGTTTGTTGGGTCGCACTAATTTGGGCTCATTACTTGGTTCATATACAGATTCAAATAGGAATGTGTGGAGAGATGCTAATGGAGAATTAAAAACAAATGATGATAAAGCACGATATCCTATCATTAGAGGTGAGACTTTTGCTTCAAATGTGTGAAAAGTGAACAGCTTCTTGTGATCTAAGTTATTTAGATGCTCAAAGTGAAACTTCTTCGCCACTTAATGTCGACACCGATGACATTATTACATATATGCACTTACCTGGTTCACAACAAAATGCGGTTCCGATCTATTTTCACCAACTTACTCTTTCCCCAGATGACACATCCGATCAACACGGAAATGCTGAACAGAACAATATGGGCAATAAGCACTTCTCGGATAACTTGATTGTCCCCGACTACAGGGAAAATACCAATGAACGATCAGAAACAGGTAATGACAAATTACATAACGATTTCTCGCTCTATCTTTTATAGTTCTTTATTTTCATCAGCAGCATGAAATTGATGAAGCGACATTAAAAGTATGGTTTTTACTTTATATATGTGAGAAGATAAATAAACTTTCTATCTAAGTTATTCAAAATGCAATATGATACTTTTTTTTATGGCACTGACATTTTTGTGATTTTCACATTACTTAACTACAAAATGGTGTAATAGATTTATTAATTGCAAAAATACATTTTTTGACATGGATTTTTCAGATAACAAAAAGTATATTTGTCATTATCCCGGCTGTACTGTGTTCACAAAAGATTACAAAGAATATATAACACATAAGAAATCTCACGGTCAGCCCTTCATCTATGAATGCAAAGTGCCCAGTTGTGGACGGACATTCCACCATGGTTCATCATTTCGCAATCACAAGCAAACGCATGAACCTCATCCTCAGTGCGAGGGTTGTGGCAAATTCTTTACCAGTAGGAATCAGCTACTGTATAATCACCAGAAGCATTGCCAAACAAATTTTCGTTAGTTTGCAAATTTAGCAGAATTTTAAAAGTATATGTCAGCCTAAAGTAGAATGCATTGGAATATGTTATAAAACATTTGTGTCACAATGAAACGGAAAATTCATAATTACACTATTTTTGCAACTATATCTGAACATAGTTAAACAGCTTCTTACGATCTAAATTATTTGAATGAGATTTTGGTAATACTTTTATGATTTATCAGATTACTTAATTAGCTGTCGAACACTACAATAGAACAGTAACAAAAAAAATAACACGACAATTCTTAAGGCGAACGAAGCTACGAATGCCTTTATCCCGGATGTACTATGATCACGAAAAATTACAAAGAATATGTAATACATAAAAAAACACATGGTCAACCCTTCATCTATGAATGCAGAGTGTCCGGTTGCGAGCGAATATTCCAGCATAAATCATCATTTTGCAATCACAAGCAAACGCATGAACCTCATCATCAATGCAAGTGCTGTGGAAAATTCTTCAGCACCATGTATGGACTACAAAGACATAAGAAGCTCTGCCCAACAAAATTTCGTTAGTTTGCAAATTTAGCAAACTTTTGAGCACACATATTAGCCTGAAATAAAATTGAAATGTGTTATGAAACATCCGTGATCGCTGAGTGACAATACAACAGAAAAATCTCAATTACATTTTTTGTTGTAGCTATACACCAAGATAATTAAGCATCTTTTTGTGATCTAAATTATTTGAAAATCATACTGGAATGCTAATTACAAAAACAAATGTCAATTTTTTTAGATAAACAAGGTTATGAATGCCTTTATCCTGGATGTGCTGTGATCTCGAAAAGTTACAACGATAATATAAAGCATAAAGAAACACACAATGGACCTTTCATCTATGAATGCAAAGTGCCCAGTTGTGGGCGGACATTCCACCATGAATCATCATTTCGCAGTCACAAGAAGACACATAAACCTCATCCTCAGTGCGAGGGTTGTGGCAAATTCTTTTACCGTATGGATGTACTGAAGTCTCACAAGAAAGTGTGCTCCAGAGCTCCTCGTTAGTTTTCCAAAGTTAACAAAACTTATGTCACCTTAAAATAAAGTAGGTGTGAAATGTGTTATGAAAGATTTGTGACCGTTGAGTGACAATACAAAATTCATTAGACACACTCATTAAGATGCTATATATTTTTTTTTGCACTCAGTACTACTACACACGACCTAAGAATCAATTGCTTAAAAATGTGTTGACAGTGGTGACAATGGCGCTTCAATATACAAACATCAACAAACATTGAAAATATCCTTTCACTCTTAATCAAATTGTTTTATTTTCCTAATTCGTGGAACGTATGCGGAAAAGCATATTATTCTATCCACAAAGCCAAACTACGACAAACTGCAATAATTTTTTTTTGGCGTTATAAAATTAAAAATTTTCATTCTAGAAAATGAGACACAATTTGGGCATTCTTCGCATGCATGAGAAAAGAGCGTAACAATCGGACGTTTTCGAGGCATCAGAATGCGGTGGCCAATTTATAATTTTATTTTATCATTGTGTTTTATAATATTTCATCTTTATTTAATATTCCATGAATATCACAGAAATGCATAAATGTACTAATTGGCAATAAAATTCGGGGGCAAGCATTTAAATGTACAAAATGCGTTCACAACTGAAATAAACGATTTGTTATGCAAAAAACCAACATGAAAAAGCATCATAAATGAGAAGCTAAAAATTTATAACAAAAATTGGCATCACGAAGTGGTTTTAAGCAAAGAAATGGTTTTTTTTCCTATATATATGAAAATTATAAGAAAAAATTTTCCACCTATAATTTAGCCTAACCTTAACATTCAAAATAAATGGCAGATATTATGTTTAATGAAAAAATTTCCCCGGGTATCCGACACTAAAAAATTTTGTAAGTTAATCGTTGAAAAGTGAATGTAGAAAAACATCAAAGATTTACAATCATCACAAGAACAATATTACTTTCCTATATATGAAAGGTACTGTTTCATATCTAATACAGAAGGTGACAAAACCAACATTTATCATCAAAATCAAAATTGTCGTCAAAAAGAGCAACAAATGTGCAGTTATTCCAATAAAATATGCAATTTTTCATGTAATCATATCATATGGAAAAGGATTAGGATGACATTTGCATTTGAGCCTAGGGTTAGGCTTAGGATGATACCTATACTTACACCATTAGAAGCTGCAACATTTTTCTCTTCATTATCACTCGCTCAGATGTATTATAACCATTCAATATACTATATTTTATTAAACAAAGCAGACAGGATTATTTAATACTGCACAATTGATTAAATATTTCACCATACGATGACATTTAATCCCAGCTATTCATCAATTTCATTTATGCAAATGTTACTCCATTTTGTCAACCAAACTTTTGAAAATTGTCCCATCTTTTCAAACATCGCTTATGTTGAAATTCTTTTTGATAATAGCAGTGGAATATGTCAAAAAGCAATAATTAGCAAATTTCAGGTGATGCGTCCATCCGACGAAGTTCCCATCAGTGATATTATCAATAGGTGTGTGGATGCGACTTTATTAAATGAACCCATTAAATCGAAAATGATTAGAATCTCATTCCTCACGTCGTATTACTGAAATGATGGAACAATATCCTTCCTAAGTAATCCTTTCGGATTCAAAAGAGCATTCATAAACTACCAGTTGGGCGAGAGAAAAACGAAAATGTAAAAGAAAAAAAAAAAAAAACGATAAACAACAGGCAGATTAAAAACTGTTTGAACCTTTGATCTTTAATTGAAATAAAAAGCTTTCATTTGAATATTTCTGTCATTTCATAAAATTCTGTCCCATCATGTTCTTCACTGTATCTATAACACCAATCATCTGGTTCAATCTTCTGCTTTGCATCGCTTCTAATAAAAATGAAACTTCCCATCTACCTAATTTTGGTGCTGCTGATAAAATTGTTACAAATAATACTTATTCTGATATCTCAGACAGCTTTGATTACAACAATTTTGAGCCATTGTTTGGCTCAGAATTTCCATCCGATCCTTCGCAGTTGATTGATTTCGATCAGTTGAGTGAAATTGAGGATATAAGTAGCAAAGAATCGATACCCGAGATCACAAATGCTCCTCATCCTGGCTTTTCAAACAGCCATGGTTTGTTGGGTCGCACTAATTTGGGCTCATTACTTGGTTCATATACAGATTCAAATAGGAATGTGTGGAGAGATGCTAATGGAGAATTAAAAACAAATGATGATAAAGCACGATATCCTATCATTAGAGGTGAGACTTTTGCTTCAAATGTGTGAAAAGTGAACAGCTTCTTGTGATCTAAGTTATTTAGATGCTCAAAGTGAAACTTCTTCGCCACTTAATGTCGACACCGATGACATTATTACATATATGCACTTACCTGGTTCACAACAAAATGCGGTTCCGATCTATTTTCACCAACTTACTCTTTCCCCAGATGACACATCCGATCAACACGGAAATGCTGAACAGAACAATATGGGCAATAAGCACTTCTCGGATAACTTGATTGTCCCCGACTACAGGGAAAATACCAATGAACGATCAGAAACAGGTAATGACAAATTACATAACGATTTCTCGCTCTATCTTTTATAGTTCTTTATTTTCATCAGCAGCATGAAATTGATGAAGCGACATTAAAAGTATGGTTTTTACTTTATATATGTGAGAAGATAAATAAACTTTCTATCTAAGTTATTCAAAATGCAATATGATACTTTTTTTTATGGCACTGACATTTTTGTGATTTTCACATTACTTAACTACAAAATGGTGTAATAGATTTATTAATTGCAAAAATACATTTTTTGACATGGATTTTTCAGATAACAAAAAGTATATTTGTCATTATCCCGGCTGTACTGTGATCACAAAAGATTACAAAGAATATATAACACATAAGAAATCTCACGGTCAGCCCTTCATCTATGAATGCAAAGTGCCCGGTTGTGGGAAGACATTCCACCATGATTCATCATTTCGCAATCACAAACAGATGCATGAACCTAATCCTCAGTGCGAGGGCTGTGGCAAATTCTTCGCCACCAGGAATGCACTGTGTCGTCATAAGAGGATCTGCCAAACAAAATCTCGTTAGTTTGCAAATTTAACAAAAAAAAAAATTCATATGTGAGTCTAAAATGGAGTGCCTGTGAAATGAACTATGGAGCACCTGTTGGACCAAGATAGTTGATACAACGGAAAATTCACAATTACATTTTGTTGCAAGGCTGTTGAAAGTTCAATAACTCTAAGGAGAAAAAGAAATCCCCAAGATTTTAGCTACTCTATTTACCAAAACTTATATCCAATGCAAGATCGATACATATATATGCTCAAAAATAATTAAGCAATTTCTTTTTCGTGATCTAAATTATTTGAAATGGAATGTATTTCACTGAAGTAATATTTTTATGGTTTATTAGATTACTTAATTAGCTGCCAAACACCATAATAAAATACCAATTGCAAAAACAAATATATTAAAAGTTTTTTAGACAAACAAAGCTACAAATGTCTCTATCCTGGGTGTGCTGTGATCGCGAAAAGTTACAACGAATATATAACACATAGGAAGACACATGGTCAGCCCTTCATCTATGAATGCAGAGTGCCCGATTGTGGGCGAACATTCGACTATGAACCATCATTTTGCAATCACAAGCAAACGCATGAACCTCGTCCTCAGTGCGAGGGTTGTGGCAAATTCTTCATCAGTAGGAATGGACTGCATTGTCATAAAAAGAGCTGCAAATCCCGTTAGTTTCCAAATTTAGCAAAATTTTAAACAGATATGTCAACCTGAAATAGAATGTGTGTGAAATGTATTATGAAACATTTGCGCGAACGCTGGGTGACAATACAAAATTCATTAGACACACTCATTAAGATGCTATATATTTTTTTTTGCACTCAGTACTACTACACACGACCTAAGAATCAATTGCTTAAAAATGTGTTGACAGTGGTGACAATGGCGCTTCAATATACAAACATCAACAAACATTGAAAATATCCTTTCACTCTTAATCAAATTGTTTTATTTTCCTAATTCGTGGAACGTATGCGGAAAAGCATATTATTCTATCCACAAAGCCAAACTACGACAAACTGCAATAATTTTTTTTTGGCGTTATAAAATTAAAAATTTTCATTCTAGAAAATGAGACACAATTTGGGCATTCTTCGCATGCATGAGAAAAGAGCGTAACAATCGGACGTTTTCGAGGCATCAGAATGCGGTGGCCAATTTATAATTTTATTTTATCATTGTGTTTTATAATATTTCATCTTTATTTAATATTCCATGAATATCACAGAAATGCATAAATGTACTAATTGGCAATAAAATTCGGGGGCAAGCATTTAAATGTACAAAATGCGTTCACAACTGAAATAAACGATTTGTTATGCAAAAAACCAACATGAAAAAGCATCATAAATGAGAAGCTAAAAATTTATAACAAAAATTGGCATCACGAAGTGGTTTTAAGCAAAGAAATGGTTTTTTTTCCTATATATATGAAAATTATAAGAAAAAATTTTCCACCTATAATTTAGCCTAACCTTAACATTCAAAATAAATGGCAGATATTATGTTTAATGAAAAAATTTCCCCGGGTATCCGACACTAAAAAATTTTGTAAGTTAATCGTTGAAAAGTGAATGTAGAAAAACATCAAAGATTTACAATCATCACAAGAACAATATTACTTTCCTATATATGAAAGGTACTGTTTCATATCTAATACAGAAGGTGACAAAACCAACATTTATCATCAAAATCAAAATTGTCGTCAAAAAGAGCAACAAATGTGCAGTTATTCCAATAAAATATGCAATTTTTCATGTAATCATATCATATGGAAAAGGATTAGGATGACATTTGCATTTGAGCCTAGGGTTAGGCTTAGGATGATACCTATACTTACACCATTAGAAGCTGCAACATTTTTCTCTTCATTATCACTCGCTCAGATGTATTATAACCATTCAAT